AATCAAAAATGAAAAGTTAAAGCCATTATCTGATCCCACCCCCACCCCATTTCATATTTGTGTAAACTTTTGTTTCAATTCTGACCACTTTCCCCATAATACTTTTCCTGCACAGTGATAATTTCTGTGTAGGAAAAATATATACACTTGCATCTGTGAACTGTGATGTTGCAACTGTTTATTTTATCATGGGTTCAGGCACTGCACAATTGCTGAGGTGACCATCCTGTTCATGTTGCTGACTACATTTAAGTCATATTGATGTGGCAGAAATGAAATTTCTCTTATTTGTGACCCTAAATGCTTTATTAGAAACTATGTCATGTTTTAAGAAATAATAGTAATAATTGTTGGATGATGATTTTCATCACAACCTTCCTGCAGGTCATGGAATTCCCCCCCCCTCCAGCTATTAACTGTAGGAAAAATTATCCCATTGGTACCCATTGATTTAATCTCTGCTCCCATGGTTCATTGTGACCTATTATTAATTTTCTCTATACCTGTTATAAGCATTTTGAAACCTGATGTTTCTACCCTTAGTTAGTTCAGAACCAAACAAATGCCAGGTCTATAAACAGCAGTGTCAACAGGTAGCAATGTTGCTACCTTCACAAACATCTAACATTTTTAACTTTCTTATATATTCATTTAAGGCTTTGAATTACAGATAAAACTATAATCTACAAAAAAGGAAATCCTTATCATTTATACTTCTTAAGTTCAAAGAACTGGGACACGATTACACAATGCAAGACGTGTCCTGAATGGACAAACAAAATCTGCTTAATTGTTTCTGAGCCCTCTTTCATTTGAAGCTTAAACAATAAGAAGAGGATAAAAGGATTTTTCAAGTGTGAGGCCCCTGACTGCTCAATGATCAGACGCCTCCTATACACCTCAAAACAGGCAGCTGAAAAACAGTATATGTTTGCAGCATGACTTGCATGAAATTGTATTAATTAAGGAGGGAAATGATATTTATATTCAACACTTGACCAAGATGCATTTTCATAATGTGTCGTCATCTCCCCACCTAAAAAAAATAAAAAACTGCTATAAACCTACATTTCGCAGAACAAACTGCAAACGATATACAGGACAAACCACCATGCCATTTAAAGTTATCTTCAAAAGGTAAGTGAACTTTTTAGAAAAACTGTAACAAGTTATTCTTGCAATAACTATCAGACCCGCTGATACACAAATAATTGTCATGTGGAGCTTAAACTAACTTATGCAGAAGTGGAATGGAATTTAATTACAGTTGCTTTCAAGAAAATATGGCAATGTTGAAACACTGTCCTATATGCTATCTATGAATGATCTAACTGTAAAACGTTACATTGGAACCTGCCCAATACTCAACAGAAGGTCAGCCTGTTTTATCAGATAAATGGGTAATTTAGCTGATGATGGTCAGATGGTATAATAAATATTCACAAAAAAATCACATGCATCATCACAACCAAACATTTTAAACTGCAGTGTGTGACAATGTAGCCAGCAGCTTCCAGACCTGCATATGTAAGGGGTTTTGTATGAATTAGCTGTTTTTTCAAGTTCCACTCAACTACCCTGGGCTGCTCCCTTGTTATTCAATGAACTTACCAAAGCGCTTAATTTCATTACCCAATTCGCTGCTTTTCATTTCTGCCTGGAGGGTGGAAAAATATGTAACTTATGGTCAATTCACACATTGTACTGGACTTCTTCAGGGAAAATGTAGCATGAAAGCGGCAACTCAGTGATCTTACTCAAAGACGGACTGTAAATCAGAAATTTAAGAAATACTCTGTTCACAAGTGATACCTTTGTGATGCCTAGGCAGGGGTGTAGCTAGCCGCTCCAGCACCCGGAGCGCTGGGGGCGGGGCAAGCCGCCCACGGAGGCAGGGCGATCCGCCCAGGGAGGCGCTGTGGCGATCTACCCACAGTGTCCGCATGGCGGACGCAAGCCCCATGTTGCCATTTCGGGCAGCTCAGGGCCCCAAGCCACCGCCTCACTCCCAGGAGAGACGCGTGGCTCGGGCCCACTGCAGGCCAGGCCCTGTGGTAAGTGCCGCCCCCGTGGTGTGCCTTTTGTCACCCCCTCAGGGATTACACAGGCCCCTTTTGTGTCTTTTATCTCACGTTATATTATGGAGTAGAACACCACCACATTTGTGAAAGGAGCAAGGAAATTTCGCAAGTTACACTAGAAACATAGTTTAGCTTGGAATGTGTTACTTTTTACTGTTGTTCATATGTGAAGAGCCAGTGCAGTGTAGTGGTCAGACAAGGACCTGGGAGACCAGGGTTCAAATCTCTGCTCAGCCCTGAAGTTCAGTGGGTGACTTTGGACCAGTCCCTCTGCCTCTCAACCAGGGGCACAAACTCCTATGAGCGGAGGTGTCTTCAGTCCCCTTAATATTTTGTAGCGGGGTGCTCAGCCCCCCCCCCAATACTGAGGGCCTAGCATGGAGATGTGGGATGTGAAACACAAGAGCAGTTAAGTACAACATTCCTAGTGTGAACATGTTTACAAATGGGGAGGAATGTTTGTCCAGCCAGCAGGTAAACTTCCTGTTTCCTTCTAGGCTGGGACAGACTTCCTCTGCATGTGATCAGAGGTGGGCGTGGCCTCACCTGTGCAGGTAATGACAAAAGCACAGGGCAGGGCAGCCATCTCTCTCTTTTTGACTACATGCATCAAAGAAGCAACATCTGCTTAGCCAAATATGCTCTCTTGGCCTCCAGCCAAGAGAGGACAAAGGGACTATCTCTTTATGGGATAGTTTCTAGGTGTATGTTACTTTTCTAAGCTAAGTCTGCCTTCTGGTATCCGATTGTGAACAGAATGTGAGTAAACTCTTTTTATACTTTTAAAGAAGACTGTGTCATGTCTTATCTTTTATGAGGGAATAAGGGGAAAATACCAGAACAGTTATTATAGAGGCTTTAGTGAGCCTGAGCAAATGCATCCGCTGTGAGTTTAAAAAGGGGAATGTTACTCTGCTAAATTGTGAACTTGTTTACACAAGTTGGAAAGGTTATGATTAAACAATATATCCTCTCCTGCATCCCTGAACATTTCCACAGGAGCCTCCATCCAAAATGCTGCTTCCTAGGCATGCCAGGCTGCCAGTGGTGCCACAAGGACTGCCAAGCTGCTGGCTGGCTTGCTAGGCTGCTTGTTGTCGGCCTAGCAGGCCTGCCAGCAGCCTGTCAAGCTTCACAGCACTGGCAGCGGCCTGGCAGGACTCATACCGGTGGCCTGGCAGGCCTTGCGCTGGCGGGCTGGGGGGCCTTGCCGCGGCAGGAGGTGGCGGCAGGAAAATCAGACCCGCCAGGTGGAGAAATAGCTCAGCCGGTGAAGGTAAGGGTGGTTAGCAGCTGCTGCAGCTCTTCTTCCCTTACTTCTGGGCCGACCTGAAGTACTCGCTGAAAGTGATGTGGCATGGCTTGACCGTGGAGGTCTACAGGCCACGGGGCAGGATTCATGCCACGTTGGAGCGCTTTGTGATGCTAGGTCAAAATCATCAACAAAGGACAGGTTCACACCTACCGGGCAGTGGACAGGAGGAGTGCTGGCTTCCGGAAGTGTGTTGATGTTGGCAGCCTGGAAGGCAGGCCAGCAGTGTGGCAGGCCTTACACAATGTGGCAGCAGTGGCTTGGCAGTCCTCGCGGTGGGAGGCGGCAGCGGCCTGCAAGTTCTCGCCGCAGCACTCCTCGGTGGCAGAGCGGGCGGAGAAAGATTTCAGATGGTGAAGGTAAGGCAGAGCCACGTGGTCCGGAAGATGCGGCAGGGAGGCGAGCGTCAGGGTCGTGTGGCAGCAGTGGACCGGTGTGGGTAGTGGCAGTGAGCGGTGAGGTTGTACGAGGGGGCAGGGAGGTGAGCAGTGTTGGGATGTGTCCAGGAAGACGGGGGCATTTGGCAGGCCCCCAGCTGGCTCCAGCCACCGGCCGGCAGCCGGGCAAACTTCGGTTCTCGGAACAGCATCAATCAGCAACTCAAGTCTCAGAAGCCTTCAGAAACTGAGCACGCTCTAATCAACAGAGTGAATAACTCTTCACAACGGAAGTGGCGGACAGAGGCATATGTAAGCATATTTACAAGCGTTGGGTGGCGCTGTGGGGTAAACCACAGAGCCTAGGACTTGCCAATCAGAAGGTCGGTGGTTCGAATCCCCGCGACGGGGTGAGCTTCTGTTACTCGGTCCCTTCTCCTGCCAACCTAGCAGTTCGAAAGCATGTCAAAGTGCAAGTAGATAAATAGGAAGGTAAACGGTGTTTCCATGTGCTGCTGTGGTTCGCCAGAAGCGGCTTAGTCATGCTGGCCACATGACCCGGAAGCTGTACGCCAGCTCCCTCGGCCAATAAAGTGAGATGAGCGCCACAACCCCAGAGTCGGCCAGAACTGCACCTAACGGCCAGGGGTCCCTTTACCTTTTTTCAGCATTAGGAACAAAGGAAAAACATGTCTGCTTCCCTTCGTGTCCAAGCAAAAAAAAACAGTATAGCAAAAGCTATATACAAGGGAAGTTCCCAGCAGACTGCGTTGGAAGTAAACAGACATGTGACATACAACAACTCCACATGCCTGGTCTAAAGGTGGAATGGAACTATATCCTAACAAGCAGCGGAGTCCCACAGGGCGGTGGTGGCAACAGTGGCATGAACAGATGGGGGGCATGGCATGGTGGAGGGGTGACCGTATGCGCACAGGCAGGGGTACCAACTGGAATAAAATATTGGGGGGCCAGGTAAGCCCCGCCCCACATCATTGATGGCGCACACCATTGGAACGGCAATGCCCATGAACTTTTGGGGAGGGCGGCCCCCTCAGATACTTTATGGGGGGGAGCGAAGGGACCTTCGCTGCTACGCAGGCGCGCAAGTTGGCACCTCTGCTCCCGGCTTATCGTGTGGCGAGAAAGGGACAGCGGTCCGCTCGCTTTTCCCGCCGCCGCCGCCTCGGGCGAAGGGGCGGAGTCGACGCCTTATGCAAGGGCTGAGGTAGTGAAGGGGAAGACGACGACGGAGGCGCGCGCGCAACAGCCTCTCCACGCCTTCGCCGGCGGCGCTTTGCTGGGACTGCCGGGGGAAGACGCTGCCGCTCGCTCAAGTCCGCTGAGGGGACGAGGACCCTCCGCTTCCTCAGGGGCAGGCGCAGGTGCGGGGCCCGAAGCCCCTTCAGAGGAGAGCCGCTGCGTCTTCATCGCCTTCGAGCGGCGTCCTGCCCGCGCCCTCCTTCCGCTCCCGGCTCCTTTACGAAGCTTCCCGGGCGCCTCGGGTGACTGGCTCCTCCCCTCTCCCTTCGCCGGGCGGAGGCGGGCGGCGTGCGCTTGTTTGTCCGCCTGTTTGGTCTCTCGAAAAAAGACTTTAGAATCCGCGCGAGCTCATGTTTCCCTCTTGGGCGACGGCAGTGGCGGCCGGTCTGGTCTCCTTGCACTTCCTCCAGAAGCTCTTCTTCCCTTACTTCTGGGCCGACCTGAAGTACTTACTGAAAGTGGCGCGCTATGGCTTGAGGGTCGAGGTCTACAGGCTGCGCGGCAGCGTTTCCACCGCGCTCCAGCGCTTCGGGGCGCTGGCCCGCCGGCAGCCCGACAAGCCCTTCCTCATCTACGAGGAGCAGGTGCACACCTACCGGGAGGTGGACCGGAGGAGCAACCGGGTGGCGCGCCTTTTCCTCGAGGAAGGGGCGCTGGCCAGGGGCGACACCGTGGCTCTGCTCATGAGCAACGAGCCCGACTTCATCCACGCCTGGTTTGGGCTGGCCAAGCTGGGCTGCGTGGTGGCTTTCCTCAACTGCAACGTCCGCGCCAGGTCCCTCCTGCACTGCATCGCCAGCTGCGCGCCCAAGATGCTGGTGGTGGGAGCAGGTAAAGTACGCGCCTGATCCGTGTTCGAAACTCCCCCGTTGTTCTAGGCGCCTTTGGCGACAGGGAAAGTTTCTGGGAGCAGCACTGCCCCTGAGATTTCTGATTAAAACTGCAGAGTGGAAGGAGAGGAGGAGCTTTTTCTGCCTCCCCACTTCCAGCTGCTCTCTGAAGACTGGAGAAGTCACCCTCTGTTCACAGTCTGTGAAGGACTTGCTCACAAATTTATTGACAGCTGCATGAATCATTATAGCTAGGAAGTGGAAGGGGAAAGTAGAATAAAAAATGGAAGGATGGTATAAAGTGGTGTGAAATGTAGCTATTAATGATAAATTAACATGTGCCATTAAGGTAAGATGGGGAATATGCAGGAGAAATGATTTTGAGGAGATATGGAGGGTGTCTGTAGAATTTGTACTGTTAAAACGGAAAGGGGTCAGACCATCACAAGAGGTGTTGAAATTTGGGGGGGGTGGGATAGTTACAATGGAATGGCCTTGGTGGTGGTGTGCACATTTTATTCTTATTTATGATTATTATGTTGTCGAAATAAAATTAAAAAAAACCACGAGACCCTCTGAGGAATATTAGGAGGGTGGGATCGACCATGTGAAAAATGAACAAAATATTTTAGCTGCGGTTCATTCATTTTCAGCTTTGTATTCTTGTTCTTAAAAAAAAAAGTGTGCCTAGACATTCCGTTGTTGCGCCCATAACCTAAGCTCCTAGCTTTCATATCTGTTTCTAACGCTGCACCTGATATTTGCATATTGCCCGCCCCTTTATCCTAGTGCGCTTCATTCTCCCTCCTCAACATGCCCTATAGTTTATTCCTTCTCATGGGCGTAGCAAAAGGGGTCAGGGGTCAGCTGCCCCCCCCATCAAGTAAAACAAGAGAAATCCTTAATTAACTGACCAATCACATCGGTTCTGCCACCCCTAGGAAAAAATCCTGGCTACACCCATCTTCATTCTAGAGAATCTAGAGGAGCAGGGTGGGGGTTTATGCCAACCAGGGATGCCAACTTAAATACAGTATTGGGGGCGGGCAGTTAAGCTCCGCCCCACATAATTGCATGACATGCTGCATGCACGCCATATGAATGGCAATGTCTGTCAACTTTGCGGGAGCCCTGCCCCCTCAAATATTGGGGTGGGGGGGAATGGACCTTAGCCTCTCTGAGTTTCTTCCTGTGATACCAACTCAGGCTGCATGCAGATCAGTGACTGCGTATTTGAATACTTCTTAGAGTAGAAAGGTCTATGAGCATAGAAAATGGTTTGATAGGGTAAAGCCTTCTCCTTGATAGTCTAGTTTTGCATGTGCGTGGAAACTGTATGTTACATACACTCATGCACACACACACACACACACACACACACACACAAGAGTCCTGAAAAAGGGTTGGCACTATTTTGAATATATAAACTTATAGCGGCAGGTGAGGGTGTTCTAACTTGTAATCACAAGGACACGGTGCTTTAGCAATAAAGAAGTCCCATGTTTTGCTAGAAGTTGCATGCAGCATGCACAGCGATTTTCTTCATATCTTAAGGGTTTGGGGCAGATTCTCAACATTACTTGGTCTCAGTTATGCTTTAGCAGCCAATTTAGAAGTCTTGAATGAACGAGTGAGTGAGTGAATGAATGAATCTTTATTTGCATCAGCCATCAGCCATAGCAACAAAACAGCAATGCAATATACAAAGAACAGAAATAAAAAGTTGATTATACAAAACACACTTCCGGGTCCTGAATCAGCAGTCAAATAATGGACCTTATTCTAAGTGCCCCAGCTAAAAACCTTGAAACCTTTGCTGTCATCTGCTACTCTTGATCTGCCAGGAGGACACTGTGGCAGTGGTTGGGTGACCTGGAATGGACAATAAGAGAGGGGTGATAATCTCATTCCTCAAGTCTTTATAAAGAGTGGAAGCCAGAAGGGCATGCACCACTGATTTGGTACTGCCATCTCCACAGGGACATAAGCGTTTTTCATGTGTAGGAATCCGTAGGATTGATTATTCTTATATGTCTTGTTGAATACTGGCATGAGCCAACAAGTGGTAGTTTATTCTATTCGTTATGGCTCCAATATGGAAAGCTATATTGAGCTAACCTGTTGCGCTAGCAGGAGCCAGCACAATTCCTGCTAGCCCAATGGGAATTGCTCCCTCTCCTGTTCCCTGCATCCCATCCCATCCCCAGATTTGCTCTAAAGGGTCTAGGGGGGAACCCAGAACAGATTTTAGGGGCATACAGAGGGAGGACAGAGGAGAAGCTTCCATCCCTCAAGGAAACTCCTTGCACTTATGGAACCTTAGCACTACCTTGAATATAAGCCAGAGGCTTTGTTTACAATTAAATGGTATACAGTTTTTATTAAATACTGTAAAATACACGTTAAGTCAGCAAATGTTTATTTGGCAATTCCAAACCTGGGTTTGCAAAGGTAATGCGGATGAAGAGGGGTGACTGCAGGGTGAAATAGTAGAATTGGGAGGCACTGTGGACATAGACTCATAGAATTATAGAATTGTAGAGCTGAAGGAACCCAAAGGGTCTTCTAGTCCAACCCCCTGCAATACAGAAATTTATCTTCTCTTTAATGTAATTGAACCTCCCCTGTTCAATGCTGTAAAAAGGTAAAGGACCCCTGGACGGTTAAGGTCAGTCAAAGGCGACTATGGGGTGCAGCGTTCATCTCACTTTCAGGCTGAGGGAACCGGTGTTTGTCCACAGACACCTTTCCAGGTCATGTGGCCAGCATGACTAAACCGCTTCTGACGCAACAGGACACTGTGATGAGTTCCAGAGTACATGAAAACACCGTTTACCTTCCTGCTGCAGCAGTACCTATTTATCTACTTGCACTGGTGTGCTTTTGAACTGCTAGGTTGGCAGAAGCTGGGACAGAGCAATGGGAGCTCACCACCGTCCTGCAGATTCAAACTGCAAGCCCAAGAGGCTCAGTGGGTTAGATCTGCTTAAATACATCTAGTGAAAGAGAGTTAATACTTCCTGAGGCAGCCTGTTCTACTGATGAACAGCTCTTAGTGTTAGGAAGCATCTCCTGATGTTTAGCTGTAATCTGCTTTCATGCAGTTTCCACCCACTGAGTCTAGTCCTGTTCTCTGGAACAGCAGGGAACAAATTTGCTTCATCTTCCATATAAACACCCTTCAGATATTTGAAGACAGCATTTACGCTCCCTATGCATGGTTGCATGGACAGCAGAATGCAGAGGATGGTGCCTTGTAGTGTCAGCTATCCCCACATGCGTGCAGCTGTTAACCCCTCTATACGGTGATTTTTACTCAATTTTAAGATGCCCTTTGATTTGTTTTGCTTTACATGTTTATCAGTTATGATTTATAATGTTATCGTCTGCTACTCTGGAACTCTTGTGAGAAGGGCAGACTACAAATAAATAATAAATAAACCCTTCCAAAGTGCTGTAAAAGTTTAGGTGTCTGAATTGTCTCCCATCACCCAACCTCTTAAAGAAAGCTTCCTAGAAGGTTTGCAGACTCACAACATACTTGCCTTCCAATATGAAAGCCTCTCCCTGATGCAGAATTACCAAGTGGGAAAGAATACAGTGATCAATAAGGATCTTGATTATTGAAAACAGTATATGCTGATTTCCATCGAGAGGCATAAGTATTTGAGAATTACTTTATTATTATTTATTAAATTTGCATACCATCCTTCATCGGAAGATCCTAAGGCGGTTCACACAGATAAATACAAATTAAGAATACAAAATACATAATAAAACAAAAACAAACCAATAAACCCTTCCCACAAACACATTTAAAAAGCCATAGAATGTTAATCAGCCAAATGCCTGGTTGAAGAAAAATGTTTTCACTTGGTGCCTAAAGATGTGTAATCGCCAGGTGAGCCTCCTTGGGGGGAGCATTCCACAAACAGGGAGCTACCACAGAAAAGGCCTCTTCTTGCGTTGCTGCCCTCCTGTTCTCAGATGGAATGGCAGATGACAAAGGGCCTCAGATGATGATTGCAGGGTCCAGATTGGTTCATATGAGGAGAGGTGGTCCTTGGGGCATTGTGGTCCTGAGCATGTATAACATGTTTTCCTGAAATAGCTGCTACATATAGGCCTATACATATGTATTATCATAATAGAAGACACATGAATAACATAATTTTTAAATCCAAGATTTCTGTAAAATGTCACCAGTAAAAACTCTCTGGAAGATTAATTGTATTTCAAGAATCCTGATCATTGTCTCTTTGACCACTTAACACAAGACTAAGTGGTCTTGCATGGTAGTTAATTCCTTGTTAACATTGTACAAATTCCATGTGTCATTTGTTGCATATGGTAAATAGACTTGTTTCTTGTTTTGTTGTGCTTATGTGGATCGTGACCCTCTGTTCTATGAGATAGTTATTAAGAACAGGAGAAAATGTATGCATTTTTAAAAATCACTAGATAATTCAATTTGTCTTTTAAGGAACAGTTCGGTAAATATTGTTAAATCTCCACAAAAATTACTGAATTGACTTTTATAGGATCACTGTGAGACTGACTGTACTCTAAAAAATTATGCTGAAATTGAAGTAGAAATGAATGACATCTGGAGTTATACTTGGATTGTTTATTCTTTTAGCATGTTTCAGTTTAATATTTCGCTTTAAAAGTCTTTCTTATGAAAGTTCTATTAGCCTACATATTACCAGATGAATGCAGCTGTCTTAAATTAAAGATTGATGGGAATAAGTTCTTGCATTGATGAAATTCATTCTGAAAAAGTAAGGAGAAACTAATGTGTGTTTAGAATCAGGGGAAATGGATTTTATTTAACAAAATGAACTTGCTTTGAAAAGTACTGTACTTTAGGAAGTGATGTAAGATGATATGGAAATAAAATCACTAGGCATCATTGGAATGCTATTCTGTCAAGACAATGGGAGCAGCTGCAATCTGCCAATTCTTTGTGAACTCTACGTACTTCCAGAAGGTTTTGATACTGTTGATCGTGGTATCCTCCTGGGATGTCTCCGAGTCACAGGATGAGTGCCCCATTTTATGGTGGGTTTAGTTCTGCTTGCAGGATTGATTCCAGAAAATGCTCTTGGGTGACTGTGCCTTGACCCTCTGTGGTGTGCCATAGGGCATGATTTTGTCCCCAGTACTATCTAATGTCCATATGAAGCCACTGGGAGTGTCATTAAAAGCTATCGGTCAAGAGGACACTGGTATGCCGACGGTGGCAGGCTCTGTTTCTCTGTAACATCTGAATCGGGAGGGACAATACATTCTTAATAAACTGCAACTTAATCTTGACAAGATAGTGGCCATGTCCGGAAACTGAGTTTCGTACAAGCTCTAGAGCAGGTTGTACTCCATATGAAGGAGCAGGTGTGGGGCTTCTCCTAGATTCATTGCCTCCATTAGAGGCCCAGGTGGCCTCAGTGGCTCAAAGCACCCATTACCAGCATTGGTTGGTGTTCCATCTACAACCAGTTCTATACACTGAAAGCTTTGCATAGATGGTCCATACATTGGTAACCTACCAATTAGACTACAGTAATGTGCTGTAAATGGAGCTACCCTTGCATCTGGTTTGCAAGCTACAGCCAGCTGAAAATGCAGCTGCTAGAGTGCTTAGTGGGACACCCAGCTGTAGAGATACTGTGCCAATTTTGAAAGATGTACCACATCTTAATTAGACATTAAGGCAAGTGTTGGTGCTGACCTTTAAAGCCCTAAACGGCCTCGGTTCAGTATATCTGAAGGAGCGTCTCCACCCCCATTGTTCTGCCCGGACACTGAGGTCCAGCGCCGAGGGCCTTCTAGCAGTTCCCTCACTGCGAGAAGCAAAGCTACAGGGAACCAGGCAGAGGGCCTTCTCGGTAGTGGCACCCGCCCTATGGAACGCCCTTCCAGCAGGTGTCAAAGCAATAAACAACTACCTGACATTCAGAAGACATCTTAAGGCAGCCCTGTTCAGGGAAGTTTTTAACGTGTGATATTTTACTGTATTTTTGGTTTCTATGGAAGCTGCCCAGAGTGGCTGGGGAGGCCCAGCCAGATGGGCGGGGTATAAATAATAATAAATTATTATTATTATTATTATTATTATTATTATTATTTGCCAAGGAGAATCCTCTGGCCTCTTCACAGCCACATCAGAGGAGAAGCAGGGATGCGTGCATGTGCATGTGTGGTGTAGTGGTTAAGAGCGGTGGACTCGTAATCTGGTGAACCGGGTTCGCGTCTCTGCTCCTCCACATGCAGCTGCTGGGTGACCTTGGGCTAGTCACACTTCTCTGAAGTCTCTCAGCCTCACTCACCTCACTGAGTGTTTGTTGTGGGGTAGGAAGGGAAAGAAGATTGTTAGCCGCTTTGAGACTCCTTAGGGTAGTGATAAAGTGGGATATCAAATCCAAATCCAAACTCTTCTTCATGTGTTTTTCCCCATAATGCTAAGCCACGACTAGCTAACCTGTGGCCCTGCTAAAGTTGTTGGATTCCAGCAAACCCCGGCCAGCATAGCTAATGGTCAGGTAGTCCGACAACATCTAGGGGAAGGCATAGCTTAGTTACCCTTTTGTCAAACTTTGGATTAGTGTTACGTGAATCTAATCATCATGTGTTTCTCATACCCTAGTGCAGTGAAGAAATGAAAAGCAGAATTGTACTTTCTAGATGATACAGTGGTACCTCAGGTTAAGAACTTAATTCGTTCTGGAGGTCCATTCTTAACCTGGAACCATTCTTAACCTGAGGTACCACTTTAGCTAATGGGGCCTACCACTGCTGCCACCGCACGATTTCTGTTCTCATCCTGAAGCAAAGTTCTTAACCCGAGGTACTATTTCTGGGTTAGCAGAGTCTGTAACCTGAAGTGTCTGTAACCTGAAGCATCTGTAACCTGAGGTACCACTGTAGTATACTTTGTTCTCAGTGGCTCCTTTTGGGTTCTCTTGAAGATTGTAATCTGGGACACATACCTGACCTGCTTCCTGCCCCAGTCTCCGATCCTGACAAACATTTCACTACTGATATCTATCTATTGAATCCAGTATTGTATTTAATATGTTGCAATATTATTTTTTAGATATGCTTGGAACCTTAGAGGAAATTCTTCCTAGCCTCCAAGAAAATATCAGGATTTGGGTGATGGCAAAAGAATCCACATTGCCACATGTTGATACCATTTTGGACAAGCTGGAAGTTGCCTCTGATGATCCTGTACCAGCTAATCTCTGTGTTGCTAATAACTTGAAGGATCCTCACCTCTACATTTTTACCTCTGGAACAACAGGTACAACATTCTATAAAGGTTTTCGATACACAGTCAGAAGTGATTGTGCTTTTTTAAAAAAATGATTGTTGTTGTTGTTTAGTCGTGTCTGACTCTTCGTGACCCCATGGACCAGAGCACGCCAGGCACTCCTGTCCTCCAGTGCCTCCCGCAGTTTGGTCAAACTCATGCTGGTAGCTTCAAGAACACTGTCCAACCATCTCATCCTCTGTCGTCCCCTTCTCCTTGTGCGCTCCATCTTTCCCAACATCAAGGTCTTTTCCAGGGAGTCTTCTCTTCTCTTCTCATTAACTAGGTTAATGATTAACCTAGAGCAAACACACTACAAATCTACACTGATATGGGAGGGCCCCACCTCGAAAAGCTCTTGGCTTGGAAAACAGTTAAAACTTTTCTTTCTTTTTTAAGGCCAGCTGCCTACTGTATACTTCTGACCCCATAAACCTATATAGTACGTAGTAAGCTTTTCAGTTTTTCCAGATGGCCAGGACATTAAACTTACTCATTTAAGAAATAACTACTTTTTGTTTTACCTTTTAATATTGCAAAACAACACCCACCACCTACTAATTCTACTTTGAACATTGGAACAAATAGCAGTATATTTTCTGATCATGTGACGTAGCTTTGGAATTTGGCTTCGTGAGCTTTATAATCTCCTTTCTTAGCATGTTGTTATACATCTGTTATGAAATGTTTCCTGTCCAAGCTTGCTGAGCTTACAGGTCATTGTGGAGAAAGAAAATAGGATTAAGTTACTAACTAGCCCTTTAGTTTTGAAGCAGATGGCCAGGTTTGTTGCCATTGGTACAGATGCTAAGAAGCTAAGATCTTTATGTGCTTGTTTTGCAACACTCCTTATCAGAGGACATGAAAAGCAACATTATACAGCTGATTAAAAACAAATGTTCCACTCATAGTATTATTGTTATTTGTTAAATTTTACGATTATTTTTGTATTAAATATTATTTAAGAGGCCCTATTTGCCATATTTTCCTTACATTTTGATTAACAGCAAAGGCTAATTTGTGTTTCTGTGTCATATACCAATATTATAGATGCCTTTTCGTTTTCTTCTCTGATGCTTGCAGAACATGCCTTATCTCCGTTACCTGTAATATTTCCTGATCAATGATGTAGCACACATCCCCCCCCCTTTTAACTTGTGTTATTGAAACCAAGTGTCAAGTGCTTAGATCTTAATCTTAATTTTACACACATGTAAAGCCACACTTGTGTTCATGGTCCCTATTGAAATGAATGCAGCAGCACATGCAGAATGTTGAAACAGAAAAAACAACAACGACCTCTCACATCTTCCAGGATCAGGTTGAAGCATAAGTCAGTTTAATTCATGCTGCATATATACGCTCTGTCGCAGGAGACCAGGGCCCTGTGGGACTTGACATCCTTCTGCAGGGCTTGCAAGACGGAGCTGTTCTGCCTGGCCTTCGGTCCAGGCCCAGTTTGACCCCCCTCTATGGGACCCTGTAAGTTACCTCTGGCCCTTTTATCGGCTCATGTGGGACCAACATAGATAGCTGGCCCTGATGAATACTTTGAGGTTCCCGACCCCTATGGTTGTGATTTCATGGGCAGTCATTTAATTTGACCCTGATTCTAATTTTTAAGCTGTATTTTAATCAATTGTTTGATTGTGTTTTAATGTATTTGACATTAGATGTTAGCTGCCCTGAGCCCTGTCTTGGCCGGGGACGGCAAAGTATAAATAAAAATTAACTTACTTAGTTACATATAGAATTTGCAATAGCATAATTTGCCTAAAAATTTGCAACTTTTATAATTCAAGCAAAGCAGGTGGTGTGACCAGAAGAGAAGCTCTTTTCCAAGGAAATAATTAGACTATCTAATTATTACAACTATACGTGTGATAGAATATCGGAGATTGGATCACCAAACTTTTTTCCCCCTTTTATTCAAATGAAGCTGAGGGGAAAGGGAGCTGGTTAACAGTTTGTTCCCCTCCCTCCACCAAACAAGCAGTTTTCCTAATCTAATTCACGCCTGTAACGCTTTTGATGCCTATAGCTTCAAGATGTGATGCCTGAATTTTGATCAGGAAAGTGGCATAGGTGAAAGAACATCAGGATGTCCAATCTGTAAAAAGCTGTAATAGTTTCTGAGGGGGAAAAAACATTGACGATTTTTGTTTTATATACCTGGGTAGCAGGGAGTATATAGCTTCCATAAACTGGCTACTTGTTTTGAAATAAGAAGTTTTCTTTTTTTAAACAAAATAATGTTTCATTTTTCTTCAAACAATAAAATAATTTTACATCAAATTTCAATATCCCATTTCAAAACAATGTTTTCTTAATGCATTGACTTGCCTGTTATTTTAATCTTTTCGCAGAATACATAGTGAATGGGCTTCAGCAGGAGCAACTGGTTTGTTTATTTATTTTGGATGTTACTTAGTAATATCCCAGAACAATTTGTGCAAAGTACATAACCTATTTTAGCATATAGATGAAAATTTCACCCTGGAGTACAAAAAGCAGCCATTGATTTTGTAATTAAGCTTTTTTTACTTCCTTTGAAAGAAAAAAAATACGTTTGCGTATATTTTATTTCTTTATTTCAGGTTTACCAAAGGCTGCAATTATCAGTCATCTGCAAGTTCTAAAAGGAGCTGCTGGATTATGGGCATTTGGTGCCACTCCTGATGACATAATTTATATTACTCTCCCTCTTTACCACAGTGCAGCCGCTCTACTTGGCATAGGTGGATGCATTGAACTGGGTAAGGCAAGTTGACATTTCCGTTCCACCTTAAGGAACAGGCATGAGATTGTTGCATGTCACATGTCTGTTTACATTCCAGCACAGGTTGCTGGGAACTTCCGTTTGTGCATAGCTTTTGCTTTTGCTGTTCTCTCTGAGATGACACGAGAGAGAGACGACATGTTTCTTTATCCTGATTTATGTTTAAGAAATCTGTAGCTGTAGAATGATTTCACAAGCCTCACGACTATTCTGTGTGCGCAGTACACTCTGCTAATAGCGTGCCCTGGTCGCTGATTTACGTCTGAGCATGGGCCGATGGAAGGAGATTGCACAGCTGGGGCTTGCCAGTTGGCCTCCCGGCCCTCCGCATGTCGACAGTCTTTAGTCATGCTTATGGAAAGCGTGTACAAGTGTTTCTAAAGGAGATGAATGATCAACTTCTACACTGAAATAGTTAGAATAAGCCAAGAAAAGACCCTCAATCAATAATCACATTAATGGGGTGTGCCTTGTAGTTGCTTTAAGTCACATTTCAAATCTCATTCTGCCATTTTGCAGTGGTACCAGTTTAGAGAAGCTCAGTAATTCCCTTGATTATTACAGAATTATGTGCAGGGGGTACATTCTGTCCTAGCCAGGGGACAGCTTCTATTCTATGTTTCTGGTGCGTGCTTAGCATATTGTAGGAATGCAAAGTTACAGGTTAGGTTCCATCACAGGTTAGGTTCGATCAAGGCAAGGTCAAGCAAAGCAGAGGTCAAGTTCCAAAAAGGCAACCAGTACAGGTATCATCTGGATAGATCCAAATGAAGCTTAGGGCTGCAGGTCAGTCAATGCAGGCCTTAATATCCCTATGACAACCAGGAACCCTACACTGAACCTTAAATAGGACTGCTGCTTTCTCTGAGCAGTTGAGTCCCATTGCTTGTGAGCAGAGCTACTTTTAAAAGGGCCCAGTGCTATAAGGATGGAGAGTCAGAGCCCTGGGTTATGGGAAAGGGCAGCTGTAAGAAGCTGTGGAGAGTATCCTCTTCCACCTGATACATGCTGCTCTCATAGAATTTCCATTACAGGTCTCTGAGGATAGCTTTATGTTGTTGAGAGCTTTATGTTCTGTACTGGCTACAGATCATATGGTGATAAGCATAATTTGTTTCCATGATCCACTGGGAAAAAGACAGAGATGAAAGCATCTTCTGTTAAAAAAAGGGGGGGAGGGGACTTACTGCAGTTTCACTTTTTCCTAATCAGCCAAACGAATTACTCTGAAAAGCTGGGTCTTGGTTTTTCCTCTGCATAAAATGGATGAAAGTTCACACTAATACCATGTAGTAACTTTCTGATACGTAGAGGACTCCTGGATGCACAAAAAAGTTTCAGTTTTGGTGCGGTTGGATAAGCAGGGCATCTAAGGAGCAGCAAACAAATTAAACATCCCTTCTGGGTTCATATAGCATTCTGCACGTTTCTGTGTAAACAGGCATTTTCACCTCAAGGGAAATTTACCAGTACTTCCCAGAAGGGCGGCAGCCAATATGGCCTGGCCCAGAGCACAGCTTGATATATAACTGCTAAGATCAGAAATACGTTTTGCATGGTTGCAGTCTGCCTGTCCCTAGTTCCTGAACGGGGTAACTGTGCCCCTGAAGGACCAGGAGCGCAGCCTGGGAGCACAGTATACCTGAAGGAGCATCTCCACCCCCATCATTCAGCCCGAACACTGGGGTCCAGCTCTGAGGGCCTTCTGGCAGTTTCCTTCACTGCGAGAAGTGAGATTGCAGGGAACCAGGGAGAGGGCCTTCTCAGTAGTGGCGCCTGCCCTGTGGAACACCCATCATTTGTCAAGGAAATATACAGGTACCTGACTTTTAGAAGACATCTGAAGGCAGCCTTTTTAGGGAAGTTTTTAAAGTTTGATGTTTTATCGCTTTTTATTATTAATAATAATATTCTGTTGGGAGCTGCCCAGAGTGGCTGGAGCAACCCAGCCAGATGTGCAGGGTATAAATAATACATTATTATTATTATTATTATTATTATTATTATTATTGGATCTGGCCATGCCAGTAGGGTAGCCTATCCTGATTTAAGGGATATTTAGCATTACAAGTGTTGTGGTAGAATCAATTACTTCAAAGGCACACAGAACATGTTGTTCAGGCATGGTGATCAATCTGGTCGTGGGAGACAGGGTGCTGTGCACAGGCCTAGCTAGCACTGTCAGCTCCTGAGAGACAACCCCCCAACCATAAAAGGCTCAAAATGCACAGCCCAGTTCACCCTGCTCCCCTGATATCAAGGACTTGCCCCAATCGTGGCCTGCCAGCAGTGTGAAAACGTCCAAGAGAAGGATAGATTTATTGTTTATGCATCCAATTAAGCTTTGAAGAAGCTTGTGCCATAATAAATCCGTTGCTGTTTTTGCTGCAACACACTTCTCCTCTGGCAACAGAGTGGAGTCACTGGGACCAGTTCAGCCTTCATGCAAAGGCACAGGGTGTTTTAGGGGTGGGGTCCATCTCAGCCTGAGGCCATAGTCCCTTCTAAGCCGTTTGAGGCCACATGCCAGTGGTAGGTGGGTAAAGAGGCGAAAGTGGGTAGGGCAACAAATGTCAACTTTACCTTTCTACAGGAGCCTGGTTTTTATACACAATCTTTCACCTCACTATCAGCCATCCATACAAGCAGGACACATGATCAGAGTTCAAAGACCCATTCCAGTCATTCAAAAATAGTGTGCAAAGCAGAGACCCTAAAAGGTGTGGCCTGAGGAGAGTACAAGGGCCAGACGGAGAGGTACAGGGATCTGTATTCAGCCCCCAAGACTTTGAGGTTCCCTGCCCCAATGTATTGCAACATGTACATAGATTTTTAAATTAAACCAAGTGTGTATCAATTAAATTCAAATCTGTTCTTAAGGATGTTAGACCTAAATAAGATTATCCAGTAGGTACTGTGCATAGTGTCAGCCAAAAGTTAATCCTGAAACTGTGGTTTTGTTTTTCCCCCAAGGTGCGACATGTGTTTTAAAAAAGAAGTTTTCAGCTAGCCAGTTCTGGACTGATTGCAAAAAGTATAATATTACAGTTATTCAATACATTGGGGAACTGTGTCGTTACCTTTGCAAGCAGCCTGTGGTAAGTCCATTTAAAATAATACATTTATATGTTAGTTTTATCTATAGCCCACTCTTCATCTAATGAGCAGTTTACGAAAGATAGTTTTAAACAATACAAAACACAGTCAGATACCATCATAAAATTATTAAAACCATGCTTAAAACATATGCGGCAGAAAGCCTCAGAGCACAAAACTCTGACTTCCATTAATGGTTGCGATTTACCTGAACAATTTTGAATGAGTTGGAACACTCTTGCTATCTGGGTTTCTAGCCTGGGTAAACAGCGTTGGAATTGTCCCCAAGATTGCAAGATTGCCAACATATTTTTAGTAAGAAAAAATGGGTGCTGCAAGAATTTCAGTCATGCTAAGCATGTATAAATCTCTCTTGAGCCAAGGATCCCAGCCAAATGTATTATGAGGCAGGCAACTCTTTGAAAGGATAGCCTGCCTCCTTTTATCTTATTGCTTCTAAAAGAAATCTACCTGCTTCTAAAGGACAGTATTTTTCCATGTATAAGACAACCTTTTTATGAAAATTTTAGTGATAAATTGGGGGTTGTCTTATACTTGGGTTAATACAGTAAGTAAACGAGGGCTGGAGCCTTGTTGGTAGCAGGTAGCAGGGAACAGTTGGGGGGGGGGGGTGTCATCAGAAAAACCGCTCAACAGCTCGGCAAAATTACAAAAGAAGCTCAACAACTGTTTTTCTGATTTCCCCCAAAAAGCTCAACAACTTCCTTAATTTTAAAATTTCTTAATTTTGGGCTCCCAAAATACACGGGGTTGTGTTATACACGGAAAAATAAATTACACGTGAAAGCAGAGTTAGATGCAGTCTCCATGGCATGCATGATATGCATTTGCACTTTGGGGCCAATATTTAAGCAGAGCGATTCAGACTTCTCATAGTTAGTTTCTGGCTCCACAACTTCCCCACAAAATGGCAATTCCTTAGTTATTTATGGAAATGCCTGTATTGGGACTGACAGCATTACTGCCATGTCATGCACAAACATCCGAAAAATGTGTTTTCTGTCATCTTATATTGTGAATGGCCCTGAGATCTGTTAATGAAGAGGGGTTTATAAATCTAACAAGTAAGTAAGTAAAAACTTAAGAAGATAAATCTGTAAAAGATAAATCAAGAGAGAACAATAGGGAAGTTCAAAGCAAGAGAAATACAAATTGTTGGTTCTCACCACCGTCCTATATAAATGTGTAAGAGCACCTACAAATTCATATTGCAGATGAAGAATTACAAAAAAATATTTGAAGGCACAGTCACTCCAGCCAGACAAATTCCTAATATGCACCCAGTGTTAATCAACATCAATAGGTTCCCATTCTTTTTACTATGCTATTATATTCAGAAAGTTGTGGATTAGATTGGATTGTTGACATCCTGGTATGAGCCCTGCCTGATTTAGGTTATATATTTTTCAGTGTAGAACTGAGAATAGCAATTGACAGATTGAAGATGGGGTTTGTGCAGAAAATAAAACAAGGTCTCATGGGGAGTGCTAAAGCTTTGGTTCAAGGCCAGTTTTCTTTTTGTTTTTTCTTTTTGTTTTGTAATAGCTGCCTCCCTCTTATTAGGGCCGTCATAACTGCTGAAGGAGAAACAACAACAATATGTTGTGTTATTTATTTATTTACACAACACATCCCACACTTTCAACATAATGTATGTTGCCAAGGCAGCTAACAGAGTAGAAAGAAACAAACTGGTATAATTTAAAACAACGAAGGTAGATAGAATTCAGCGTCATGCTACTACAAATGTTCTGTCTACACAAGCCTATTAGCTTGCCAGATGGAACAACACCCCCCCCACCCCGTCTCCCACATGCTGGTCTGAGGGTTGTCCCCCTGAGCCAGTTCCAGGGGGCACACAGGAGAGGAGGAAAGCCTCATTGCCGAAGTCCCGAGTGCAGGGCTTCCCACTGATGGTGTTCTTTAGATCATGGGTAGACAATCTAAGGCCCGGGGGCTGGATGCGGCCCAATCGCCTTCTCAATCCGGCCCCCGGACGGTCTGGGAATCAGCGTGTTTTTACATGAGTAGAACGTGTGCTTTTATTTAAAATGCGTCTCTGGGTTATTTGTGGGGCCTGCCTGGTGTTTTTACACGAGTAGAACGTGTGCTTTTATTTAAAATGTGTCTCTGGGTTATTTGTGGGGCATAGGAATTCATTCATTTATTTTTTTCCAAAATATAGTCTGGCCTCCCACAAGGTCTGAGGGACTGTGGACCGGCCCTCTGCTGAAAAAGTTTGCTGACCCCTGCTTTAGATGAATCTTGCCCAAAGCATACAATTGGTCTAATAGTGTATTTTAATTGTTGTAACCCACCATGGGATATTAGGGTGAAAGTAATAATGACAAACTACTGCAGTAACAGTGCATTCACATAAACAATAAAACCAAGCTGCTCTAAAAAAAAGTTTCCAAAGTCGATTGATATGATATTTATGCATAACTAGCTTAACTCTTGTTAAGCTCACTTAATAGCTCTCAGATTTGTATAAGGTTTCCATGATGTCCTCAGGGTATTTCCAGTGTTTGCAACTTTGCACTTGCCTCTATAGGTCTGTTTCCTTACTCTACATTCTTAATCCCAAATGCTGGCCCCTGGCCCTGGCTGTTGCCTCAAAAGTATTTTCTGCCTTGAGATGTGTTGAATTGGTTTAGTTACTTTGCACGGACTTGTGATAGCAACTGTGATTTTGCAAACCATTAAGGAAGAAAACAATGCCATAGCAGCTTTGAATTAATCTGTCTCCTTGTGTGGGATATCTACAATAAACAAAGCTTTCTTTTGTTAATGAAAAGGATAAATGGAAACAAAGTTTACCTGCATGTCAAACTGGCTACTAGAGAGTTTCGGTTTCTGCGGGGATATGAATAAACCATTCAGTCTGAATTGAGCGGGTTTCTCTACTGGTCTTTTTTCATCACTGAACAAAAGGTCACAATAAAAGTCTTTGTTGTTGTTTTTAGTCTGGTGTTACCAGGATTTGCATTTCAATAACAGAGAATTCAGTGACCTCAGCAAAGGGTAGGTGCAGTGGTGCAGATGACATGCCAATTTGAAATTAGCAAGGAATCAGATTCCTTTGAAGGTAGGTGCTTTTAAAAGTAGGTGCTCAAATCAAGTCTATTTTAGTTGATTGCCTGGAGGAAAATAAGCAGGAGAAACAAAAAAGCAACATGATTTAAATGGCTTTTCTGCACATTTTAAAAATGGTTGCCCTGATCCAGCTAAAGGGAATTGTGACTAGGAATGCAACTCTTTGCACAGTCTGCATAAAAACAAGTCTGATTGTTCTCAACAGGGCTTGCTGCCATATAAGTGTCATTCTGCCATGTAAGCGTGTTTAGAATTGCAGCATAAATCTTTATTGAAACCAATGAAACAACTAACTATAATCTCATTGCTCACAGCCGGACCTAGGGCATATGCACACTTCCTTTTTGCCCGGCTGTTTAAAGCTCAATCGGAGCAAAGGTCAATCCGCAGAAAACCCAAATTGACGTTTGCTCCTATTCAGCTTTAAAGAGTGAGTTTTCACAGGGAGAGCTCAGGCCAAAAAAGAAAAGAAAACAAGAGCGTTAAAGCGTGAACCTGTGCCTGGAAAGAGTGCAGCAAAAGGTAGATGTGGATAAGCCCTTATTTAAAGCTAACTAGCTAGGTTGGGGTGGTGATGATTAAAAATGCAAAAGCTGGTTGTCACTTATGGCCATTTGTCATAGCCAAATGCAGTGTAAATTCTGCAGATAAAAAAACCACATTAAAAATGTTGATGAGTTGTCAAGTACATAAACATATAGGCTGTTCCTAAGAACTGATTGTGGTTCAAACAGAGGTTACATTGTTAGTGATGTATATATACTTCTTTTTGGTTTTGATATCATCTCTAATCCAAGAGTTTTTGCAGGTTCTCAAACACTATAAAAACCTGAGAAACCAAAAAGCGGAATAAGTATATAGTGGTACCTCTAGTTGCGGACACGATCTGTTCCGGGGTGTCATTCAAACCCCGAAAAGTCCACAACTAGACTGGTGCTTCTGTGCAAGTTCAGAGCGTGATAGAGCACTTCTGCGCATGTGCGAAGCGCATAGAACGCTTCTGCGCATGTGGGTGCGGCGAAACCCAGAAGTATACACTTCCAGGTTTGCCGTGTTCACAAGCCGAAAAGATGCAACATCAACCTAACGTAACAAGAGGTATGACTGTACATAGCATTGTGAATGGTGTTTTCACCATACTAACTTCAACACACACAAATGCACACACACACAAATATATACTCCTATTGTCTGCCTCTAGCCTTAGGTACAGAGTGATAGAATGGACTCCCTTAGAAGGTGGGAGACTCTCCTTCGCTTGATGTTTTTAAGCAGAGGTTGGATGGCCATCCATCATAGATGATTTAGTTGTGATTCCTTCATTGCAGGGGGTTGGACTAGATGACCCTTGGGTCCCTTCCAACTCTACAAGGAGCCATCCCATACCAGGACCGCCCTCAGGAACCTCCAAGGAATTGGTTGTGATTTTTATGATGGGTCACACTGCAGCTGGTTTATGATCTGTAGATAAACTCAAGATGGGGGCTGGATTTTAATTTTCTTTTTAAATGCGAGCTTGGAATCTGCTGTAGGTTAAAATGTGATGGGTTCATCTTAAGGATGTCTATGTGTGTTTTTAAAATGTCTTTCAGAAAGAGGGAGAGAGGAATCACAAAGTTCGCCTAGCAGTTGGGAACGGAGTAAGAACGGATATCTGGAAGGAATTTTTACACCGATTTGGTGACATCAAGATATGTGAATTTTATGGTGCAACGGAAGGAAACATTTGCTTCATGAATCACATGGGCAAAATTGGATCTGTGGGTCGAACTAATTTCTTTTATAAGGTGACTATTTACATGTATATACTGTGTGAAGGAATGCCAGATTAACATGACTTTTATAGCACAGTAGCAACTTTTTATAGCAACTTTAGAATCTGAATCACTCGGTGGGAAGCTGCTGTTCATACAAAATCAAGCTTTAAACCTAGCTCTCTATCAAGCCGTAAATCCATAATCTAGTTATTAATTGTGTTATTTTGGTCAGATATGATATATGCAGGGACGCGGGTGGCGCAGTGGGTTAAACCACAGAGCCTAGGGCTTCCCGATCAGAAGGTCTGCGGTTCGAATCCCTGCGACGGGGTGAGCTCCCATTGCTTGGTCCCTGAAAGCACGTCAAAGTGCAAGTAGATAAATAGGTAAACGGGAAGGTAAACGGCGTTTCCATGCGCTGCTCTGCTTTGCCAGAAGCGGCTTAGTCATGCTGGCCACATGACCCGGAAGCTGTACGCCGGCTCCCTCGGCCAGTAAAGCGAGATGAGCACTGCCACCCCAGAGTTGTCCGCGACTGGACCTAATGGTCAGGGGTCTCTTTACCTTTACCTATGATATATGCAGTTGTTTGAATCTTTGCTTTATGGTTTTAACCATGAAACAGATCTAAATATTTACTCCCCTTCCCTTTCTAAATTCCTTTTTGGGGAGGTGGATTTTTTAAAAAATTGTTTGCTAGTGATGCTTCACTGAAAAACTTGGTTTGGGGATCACTGAATACTTTGTCCATGTCTGTAGACAACTGGGATTCTGCTCATAAATCACTGAAATTCTTCTCAGGGCTTGCTGTCATTTAGCTTTAATAAAATGAAACCCTCCAGTAGCATGACTCCTGTGGGATAGGAATACATTTAGATCAGTGTATAGAAAGCTCCCTTTGTGTGGATGTATGAATACTAAGAACAGAGAGTTGTCAGTGCATGCATTAGCATAGCAAGCAGTAAACAAGCCCAACTTACAACAACTCATTGTGAAACTCTTTCAAAAATCCACTTATTTTTGTGTGATCATAACTAACAGAGCAATAATGTGGTTCTGCTGTGCTAACAGCTACTATGCCCGGACCGATGCCAATGTACCATAGTTTTAATCCTCTGCACTCCCAGCAGTGAGGTGGAAAGTACAACAGTATCAGAACAAAAAGCTAAGGTAATAATACCAATGGGTGGGTGTTCCGACCATCTATCATTCAGATGGTGGCCAGTGAATGGTCATTTTGCATTGCCAACCAAATGAGGAATAACATCACATGTTGAAGTCAATATTCCCTCCCTCGCACAATGTACTATCTTGCTTCTCCTTGAACTCTCAGCAACGTTTGATTCCATCACCTATGGTATTCTTCTGGAGAAGCTATCTAAGGTGGGTGACACAACCTTGCCCTGATGAGTTAAAAATTAACTATGAAAAGTCTGAATCCATTAACAGAAGGCTCCTTGGTCCAGCAGATGTTTCTATGAAAACAAGGAGATGATTTCCTCCCATTTCCTGTTCAGTTCTCATTTCACCATACTGTTTTGGAGGGTTTCCCCAAACTCTGGAGCAGATTTGTGGGACTGCACAGGGAAGGCCCATATAGTTAAAGCTATGATTTTCCCAATAGTGATGTATGGAAGTGAGAGCTGGACCATAAAGAAAGCTGATCGCCGAAGAATTGATGCTTTTGAATTATGGTGCTGGAGAGACTCTTGAGAGTCCCATGGACTGCAAGAAGATCAAACCTATCCATTCTTAAGGAAATCAGCCCTGAGTGCTCACTGGAAGGACAGATCGTGAAGCTGAGACTCCAATACATTGGCCACCTCATGAGAAGAGAAGACTCCCTGGAAAAGACCCTGATGTTGGGAAAGATGGAGGGCACAAGGAGAAGGGACGACAGAGGACAAGATGGTTGGATAGTGTTCTCGAAGCTACCAGCATGAGTTTGACTAAACTGTGGGAGGCAGTGGAAGACAGGAGTGCCTGGTGTGCTCTGGTCCATGGGGTCACGAAGAGTCGGACATGACTAAACGACTAAACAACAACAACAACAGGGAGTTGCAAAGGGAAGCAGGAATTGAAGAAAATTAGACCCCTGCTTCCATTCAAAGGGAGCAATCATATAATCAAAGAGTTTTTCATTAAACACATTGATTTTTATACACCCTGCAATGGCTTAATATTGGAATGACTTTAGTTGTGGATAAAACATAAGGATTAAAGTTCCTGGGGCCTCTTTTACAAAGTGGCTCATTTTTGTGAAGCAAGAAAGACTGCACACTCAAAGGATGTTGGTCCAATGGAAGGCTCTTAGTACTTTTTGTGTGTTCCCCCTTCTCACAAAGGAATTGAAAAGAAGATACCGATTGAATCAGCAACATGCTCAGCATTCTGAGTGTCTTGACTTCCTGGAGTAGTACAAGTCTTTTGAACAGTTACTCATCTAGTTTTCATTTTGGATCTCTTCCCAGTTAATGGGTATTGTTGTGTAGTAAGTGACAAGCTGTGAAAGTCCAAAAGGGATAAGTAATTGCAGGGCTTGAGAAACATGGTCTAAGAGCTTGACAATGAAATTTGAGAAGTCTGCATTCTGGACAATCATGCTTGTTCAGTAATTTTTTACTTCTACTGAAAAGTCCTGTATGGAAATACATTGCACTACAAGCTAAATAGTGAAATAGATATTTCTGAACTAAGGATTGTAGCAGCCAACTCATATCATTGACAACTCATTCCCATTGAATCCAGTATGTGCAAGATCACTTCTAAAACGTCTGTATTTTTGTGCTTTTAAAAAAAAAATCTTGAGAGTTTATAAGGCTGCCAGACTTTTGCTGAAATAAGAACTCATACATTATTCATAATATTTAAATTCTCTGCATTCTAAAAAAAGAAGCAATATTTTCCCCCTCACATTAAATTAATGTATTGCTCTTTCTCTTGATATAAGTTTACCAGTTTAGTCTTTTTTTCAGTCTTTATTCAAGTTTTATTATTCATTTTTCATATATATACAACACCTAGTCATCTTCACTATCATCAGTCCAATAAAAATATCACAAATGATACATGCAGTTTTAACTATGTGCTTTCTACACGAACCCATGACTTCCTGTCCTCTCCATGTTTCCTTTATATTAAACATCTTGCAAAAAACTTAAACATCCCCCCAAAAACTAGGTGCGTCCTATGGGACAAAAAATACGGTAGTTCCTATGTCTTTGTCCATGGAGTTTTCTTGGCAGGGATACTAGAGTGGCTTGCCGGTTCCTCCTCCAGGTGGATCACATTTGGTCGAAACTCTCCACTATGACCTGTTCATCTTGGGTGCCCTGCTCGGCATAGTTCATAGCTTCTCTGAGTTATTCAAGCCCCTTCGCCACGGCAAGGCACGAAGGGGAAGAGAAGACTCCCTGGAAAATACCCTGATGTTGGGAAAGATGGAGGGCACAAAGAGAAGGGGACGACAGAGGACGAGATGGTTGGACAGTGTTCTCGAAGCTACCAGCATGAGTTTGACCAAACTGCGGGAGGCAGTGGAAGACAGGGGTGCCTGGCGTGCTCTGGTCCTTGGGGTCATGAAGAGTCGGACACGACTAAACGACTAAACAACAACAACAGTTCCTGTGTGCTGTGAAAACACAAGTGAGATCTACAATGAAATGTTGCAGTGTGGAGTGCTGCTGTCCACTCCATTCCATTCTTTCTCTCCATTTGCCCTCTGCCCCAGTTAGTCATCATTCCATGGCCACTGAGCATGCTCAGTTTGCATTAGGCTGGTTTTGAGACATTCTCCCCTTCAGCTGCTATTCTAAATACACCAACCTGGGAGTGTGTTCCCATGATCTCAATGGGGGCCTTACTTCTGAGTAGACACATACTTCCTAGATGTTTACCATGCTGCTTCGTAACCCTCCTATTGTTTATAGATGGTGCAGTTTTGGTTATATGAGCACCAGAACACCAGAAATTGAGAAAATTTGAGCCCAAGAATAAACATTTCTCTTTCCCAAGGCCATTGGATGGCACAACTCTTCTGCTTTTCATCAGACCAAATATCCTGGTAGCATAGTTTAGTCATGCTACATTTCCTTTTCCCGTCATCTAAAGCAGAAACAGGAATAATTATTTCCTTAGTTTTTCAATTAGTGGGTTAGTCAGTTCCCATCTGGAAGTATTAATTTATGCCAGCTGAGGCTTTCTATGAATTAAAATATTAGTTATTTGATTTTGTTGTCTGTTGGACATTATTAGTAGCAGGGGGTACTTAAAAGACTTCAGTGACAGCTGTATCATTTGGGTCTTGGGCTTCTTGAGTTTCTAATAAGTATTATATTTCAACCAAATATAACACTGCAGTTTTACCCCATCCTGTGGATAATGCAAGAAACAGTTCTTTTTCTTTTTTATTTACATTGTTTCCAAAATGTTAGTTTTTCAGCTTAAAGAAATGTTAAATTATTTTGTTCAGATGGGAGATCCTAAGGCAGAGCTTTCCAAACTTTTCATGTTGGTGACACACTTTTTGGACATGCATCATATTTTACAACACAGCAATTCAGTTTTACTAGCGAACCGGAGATTAAACTAACCCCTTTCAAGCCTGGGCTACCAAGATAATAACGGGCCTTCAAACCAATCCTTATACAAAAGGACTGAGTCTAGAAAAGAGGAGACCAAGAAGCGATATGATAGCCATCTTTAAATATATAAAGGGCTGACCACTTGGAAGATGGAGGCAAACCGTAAACTATAACAAGCTGTGCATAATCAATGCAGAATTTAACCCTGTCCTCCTGCCCATCAACTGATATCACCAGTGATGTCAGCTAATGGGCAAGTTAGGCGTGTTTTAGGGGAAATGGCCTTGTAGGCTAAATTGGACCCCTGGCGGTCTGATCTTGGCTCACTGGGCAGAGATTTCCCACCCCTATGCTAAGCCATGGTTTACCTTAGCACTGCATGCCAACCAGTCCAGTAACTCCCACTGCTGTATTCAGAGAGATGAACTGGGTCATTCTTCAATGCCTTGTTAATGGGAAAATCCAGGTGTCTTTTCCCAGATGGTATATCAGCTTCAGGAGAACTACATTTGTTCAGCACTCAAGCTGCTGTGTGCTGTTGCTTGGAAGATATAATTTCCTTGATAACAATCCTCTTCTTCCCTGTTCTGACACTGGTGAAAGAGGGTCTGGCTGTGGAGGAATTGACTTCAGCTTCAGTGTTTTTAAAAATGTTCTGCTAGCATCTGAAGGCCATGATGAGTTACAGTTGTTAAAGTGTTATCCAAGCTGTTCTCCATTTGATCCTCCACACACACATCCGCAGAAGAACCTCTTTTGATGGTGTTGGATAACAAGTACAAGCTGCAACTTTCTGGACAGCAACTATTAAATGGAAGTGGATAGCCAAAAGTTTTCACAGTGTTGTGCGGGGGGTACTTTTCCACTTAGTAACAGCAAAACAAACGTTTATGCTTTTACATCTGGAAAAGCATGTTTTAGGTCTGTGATCCTACAGTTTTGTGTTATCTGAAACATGTTCCTGAAGCTTGATTCCTAACTGGATTTTCATTGTGAAAAAGAAAAAAAGATTCATGACAAGATCATTTTATTTAACATAATTTATGTAACTCTTGAGGGACGCGGGTGGCGCTGTGGTCTAAACCACAGAACCTAGGGCTTGCCGATCAGAAGGTCAGTTGTTTGAATCCCTGCGACGGGGTGAGCTCCTGTTGCTTGGTCCCTGCTTCTGCCAGCCTAGGAGTTCGAAAGCACGTCAAAGTGCAAGTAGATAAATAGGTACCGCTCCGGAGGGAGGGTACACGGCATTTCCGTGTGCTGCTCTGGTTTGCCAGAAGCGGCTTTGTTATGCTGGCCACATGACCTGGAAGCTGTCTGTGGACAAACGCCGGCTCTCTTGGCCAGTAAAGCGAGATGAGCGCCACAACCCCAGAGTCGTCCGTGACTGGACCTAACGGTCAGGGGTCCCTTTACCTTTACCTATGTAACTCTTGATGGTAGTAATACCTATAACTCAGTTTACAGGAAATATTAAAATTATCAATAAAAGCAATTAAAGCATTTACAAATAATTAAAATTAATAGTAATAGAGATTAAAACAAACAGACAAAATTATTTTACTGGAATGAAAAGCAGGAAGGAAAGAGAGTAATTCAGCCTCCAAGATGTAAGGGCTTTCTGACTCCGGAAAGCGCTTGAAGTTCTTGAAGACAATGGGTACCCTGAACTTTCAAAACAGAATCTTTTTTCCGTTTGTCAAATGATGAGATTCATTTTTATGACTTTGCAAATAAGGCACATGCTCACAACAAGTGAATTAGTTATCATGAGATGTCAATTGATTTTTATTTTATTTTTAAGGAAAGGGAGTGGAATAGCAACAGGAACCCAGAAGAAGAGCAGTTGTGTTAGGTGGGAGAATGCACTGGCTGTATCTACATGTTATGGCAGGCCATCTCAAAGCCAAGGTTTCTTCTGCACATTTACAGAAACCATTAACCATGGCTTGCCTTAACATGCCAATGCAGCCATTGCAACTTTTTTTAAATATTGTAGTATGTATCACAGATGGTTGAGATGTAATATCTTATTACAATCCTAATAGATTTAGAGTGAAATCCTGTGCATGCTTACTCAAAAGTAAGTCACATTTTGTTTCATGGGGCTTGCTCCCTAGAAAGTGTGTTTAGAATTTCATTTCTAAAGATGGAGGTAACATAGTTCTTGGCATGTTTTCATGCTGTTATACACCAATTCACAAACATGGTTTGCTTCAAATAGTCATACTGAATGGATTGGATTCAAAGAATGAGTGGAAGGAAAATAAATGCTAGTGCTATTTAGCAATACCAGCACAAGAGCTTGCAGAAGATTTTACATGCTGCGCTGGTGGGTTAAACCACAGAGCCTAGAACTTGCCGATCAGAAGGTCGGCAGTTTGAATCCCCGCGACGGGGTGAGCTCCCGTTGCTCGGTCCCTGCTCCTGCCAACCTAGCAGTTCGAAAGCACATCAAAGTACAAGTAGATAAATAGGTACCGCTCCGGTGGGAAGGTAAACGGCGTTTCTGTGCGCTGCTCTGGTTCGCCAGAAGCGGCTTTGTCATGCTGGCCACATGACCTGGAAGCTGTACGCCGGTTCCCTCGGCCAATAAAGCGAGATGAGCGCCGCAACCCCAGAGTCGGTCACGACTGGACTTAGTGGTCAGGGGTCCCTTTACCTTTACCTTTATGAGAGGGAAGTTCTGTAACAGTTGTTAGGATTCCATTTGTGAGGGGGGAAATTGCACATCCTCTTCTGCAAATGGAAGAACATTTTTTGATTTAGTTTTGTTTTAATCTAGCATGAGTTGTGAAACAGGACATTTTTTGATATATTCTGCAAATTAACATGGATCCAAAGTTGCATGTTATATCTGAAACTTATTCATATATATCTTATTGTATGTCGTTGATACTGGAAGGTGGCTCCCTATTCATAGTGTGTGTAATTGTGTAGGTTGAAAGTGGCCTTCCTGTTGAGCTAGGAGGGAAGCAAGTCAACAGGTGGTCATTGAAGGAATACTTTGACTCATTGACTATTTATAACCGTTTGTAATATTCTGAAGAGCCTCTTCACTTTGTTGTGTAGAAACACATGCAAATGTAACATGAGAATGCTGCTTTCTACAGCTAGTGGATCTATATTTTGACTGCCACAATTTTATATATTCCTTTACTCCAGGGGTGACTAATCCTCCAAATGTTGTTGAACTCTTATCAGACTGAACCAGCATGTCTAATGCATAGCTGTCAACGTTTCCCTTTTTTTAAGGGAAATTCCCTTATTCTGAATAGGATTCCTCGCAAGAAAAGGGAAAGGTTGACAGCTATGGTCTAATGACCAGGTTTGTAGTTCAGCAATGTTTGAAGGCTCACAGGTTTCCCACCCCTGATTTACCTCTAACATTTTTTGAATTTCACAATCTGACATTTGAGAAAGTTTTGAAATGCATTTTGTATAACTTGGTAAGCACATTAGAACTTTTGAAAGTGGTATATGAAATTACTTCATTTTACAGCATTGGTGCCCAAGGTTTTAAATATTCCCCATGTTTATTTATTTACAAATATACAGACAATAACAAAAGCACTATGAGTAGTTTACAATATGAATATTACAATTAAAATGTATTTGTTGCATCTTCATAAAAGCTTACTTTTAGGTAAGTACAATCATTAAGTAGAGCACACAACTCATTTAATGTACATTATTGAATGTTGCCACAAGATGTCACTGTCTAAACATTACTGATCCCATTTTTCTTTCTACTTTAAGCTCTTTTTCCCTTTTGACTTAATCAAGTATGATTTGCAAAAAGGAGAGCCAATCAGAAACAAACATGGATGGTGTGAAAGAGTCAAGAAAGGTAAGGATTTTATCCTGAATTTTGAGGGCAATAGCTACTCCAGAGGTACTGGATGCCTAATTGAAATGAAAACAAGAACACATACTTTAATAGGACTGCAGTTTCTTAACAGGCATAGTCACTGTTCCTTAGTCGTATCGAGAGAAACCACCTTGGCCATTGTTGTACTGTGAATCCCTGGACCAAGCTGTATCATTCAGGATGCTGAGAATCTTAGCTTGAATTTTTAAGGATTGCTGAGAAAAACCTAAATATTATAAGGCAGATTTTGCTAAAGGTGTAGGGCTTGTTTGTACACAGAGATGCACATAGACATTACAACACAATTATATACAGTGGTACCTTGGGTTAAGTACTTAATTCGTTCCGGAGGTCCGTTCTTAACCTGAAACTGTTTTTAACCTGAAGCACCACTTTAGCTAATGGGGCCTCCTGCTGCTACCGCGCCGCCAGAGAACAATTTCTGTTCTCATCCTGAAGCAAAGTTCTTAACCCGCTAAATATTTCTGGGTTAGTGAAGTCTGTAACCTGAAGCGTGTGTAACCTGAAGCGTCTGTAACCCGAGGCACCTCTGTACCCTATTTTTCCATGTATTAGACAAGGTTTCTTGACTCAAAAATCATGTCAAAAAACTGAGGTTGTCCTATACATGGATAGTGGCATGGGGGGGGGGGGGAGAAGAGGCGCACTCGCCAACTAGCCAGTTGACGGGATCACAACTTCCACCCGATGCCGCTGTGCGCGGGAAACAGTCTAGGGAGTGTTTTCTGCCCGCAGCTGCATGGAGGGCCAACTTTGGGCCATCTCCCCTCATCTTCTTAAAATTGAGTCCCCAAAAATAGGTGGGGGTCTTATACATGGGGGCGTCTTATAGACGGAAAAATACGGTAAGTGCTGCTCCGTAGCACAAGGAGACAGAAATTGACAGATTTGAAATATCAGAAAAACACTGTGGAGTTCTGGTAAAACGTTGTGGTCACATTGCTTGTTGAACTTAATAAACTAGAAAAGCATTAGTGGAGTCCATGTGTAACTCAGTTATATTGCAACCACTGTGTTACATCAGTTTACTTCCAGCGAAGATGGCATCACAACTGAATGTGCTTATGAGACCCTGGCGTTGAGTACTTTGCCAAGCCTGTCACAGTTTCCATGCTGTCAGCGATGCAAATTCTTAACAGTTGCTCTGATATAAAGCCTTACTCTTTATTCATACTTAGGGAGGTTGCTATTGTACTTGCTAGAAAAGTCTCCAGAATTTTAAAATGCATAGCTAAGGATCAGATAACGCCAAGCCACTGCTGTCATCTGGTGGTCAGATTATGAAACAATTTTCTTTTTATTTGTATGTTATTTACATATTTACAATTATTTAATTCTAACAAGCTTATAGCTCATATTGTTTCAGTTTATTTGGGATTCTTTGTTATTTCTTCTTTAATCCATATTTAAGGAAAATAATGAGACCATGGGAAAGCAATCTCATAACACTTCCACTTGACATTTTTGCTAGAAAAACTAGAATGGTTTTTTTTGGCTAGATTGGAATTTCCCTTTTGTATGTTGATTTTGCTTAATATACACAACCTGATATTGGGAAATCCATGTCTATAATATCCATTCTGTCCTATTCCCCCCCCCCAAAAAACCCCAACAACACTGCAAGGGCATACTCAGTTATGTGAAGACCAAGGTAGCATGCATAATGCACAGGCCCTGAAATTTGGATGTTGAAATGTCGAGGTTCAAACTCCTGTATGTGGAAAGAGCCTTTAGTTTTTCTAAATGGCCCAGAATTATTATTTTTTCAACCCAAATGCGGCCTTAAAACCACATTGGCTTAGAGACAAGCAGTCCCTCTTAAGTTCTATTTCTCTGCAAATATCCCCCCCCCCAATTTTTTGGCCCAAAGGTATCAGAGACATAGTTGTCAAACTGCAGAACATCTGGATGTGAGAGTTCTGGCACGGCCTGCCCTACCAGTAGGCAGAATGAAGCACCTGCTTCAGTTGTTAAATGCCAGGTGACAGAACCATTCTCCCAGAGTCCTCCGAAATAGCATTCTCTCTGCTCCCTAAGTTATTCTGCTGCACTCAGGTTTGGTAGAGGATGTTATCCCATCACCAGTGTTAAAGTGAGATTTAACTCCTAGTCCAGTTGGATTCTGTACATGGGTGGCATCATATTTTCCTTCTTGAGAAGTCTTGAGTTTATATGCTGACTACAGTCTGCTTTTGATTTATAATGGCCATAGTATAATAATTTAGAATAAAGCTGCATTTATATTTTTCTTAGGATCTTTTAGAGTGAATCTACATGCTTCTTTGGTCAGCATTTTGTGATCACTTTGGATTGGCAAGAGAGGCAATGCAAGAGAAACTCGCATACACACAAACACTTTTAGCTACGATGCTTGAAGAGGCATCCTGTCCTTTTGATAGCTTTAGACAGCTTGGTAAATAATTACAGATTGTGCTGAGCTAACGTGCATCTATCTTCTTCTCCACAATTTTACACACAGGTGAGCCTGGCCTCTTAATATCCAAAGTACACTCAAAGAATCCATTCTTTGGCTATGCTGGAAATAAGAGAGACACAGAAAAGAAATTACTCTCTGGCGTGTTTAAGAAGGAAGATTTTTATTTCAATACAGGGGACCTGATATTTCAAGATCAAGATAACTTTCTTTATTTTTGGGACAGGACAGGAGATACATTCAGGTACAGCTACTATTAAAAATTAAACCATCTGAGTGTGTGTGTGTGTGTGTGTGTGTGTGTGTGAACAGATAGTGCTGCTTACACTTACTTTTGTTCTATGCCCAGTGCACCCTACATCTGACTACAAACATTTTCACCGAGCGGGGGGAATATTTTACCTAAAAATAAAAATCCTTGGAAATAGCTACCATAATTGTAAGAAGCAGGGAATACATTTGCCTACTACGCAACCTGTATGCTCTAATAATATGCTTTGCTTTAAAGTTTACAGGTTGATTTTTCTAACAATTAAATTCACAGGTAACCTTTGTAAGTTTAATTCCTCAAGATACTGAAGTCAAAAGGTGTATTGGTAATGATAAATGGTGGTATTTGTCCTACTCAGTGTAGAAAAATTAAAAAATAACTTGTCCTTTGATTTCAATGGGTTTACTTTGAGTAGGACTGACATTGGCTACAACTGTGGTTTTTTGTTACATTCACAAAAGCCTGGGCAAGCCTTCATCCCACACACTCATTCTCTCTCCTTCTCTGGGAGATTGTAAGCTTTCACTTCCATTTTTAGCTAACTGCAGTTAAGCATTATGTCTGGACCAGATCAATTGTGGCCCAGTAAACTATGGTTTACTGAAACAAGCCAACTTTTAAAAAAATTAAGCAAAATTTATTTCAATAATCCATAGTTATTAACCACAGTTTAGGGTTTGAACATGAATACTCAGCTCTCAATCCCCCCCCCCCATCTATTTCCAATTAGCCAATCTTCACATGACCGTGAAGGAAGAGGGGAGTGCATATGCCTGAAAGCTTGGTATTTTTCTGCATGGTTAAAATTAAAAAAGCAGAATTGCAAGCAATCATGAGGTACCATGCATATTTATCTGCACACATTTCATTTTAGATGGAAAGGGGAAAACGTTGCCACTACCGAGATTTCTGATGTCATTGGTATGTTGGATTTCATACAGGAAGCCAACGTGTATGGGGTTTCTGTACAAGGTAAGGAATATATTCCGCATTTTACTTCGTAAATAGTGTCGATGCAAATGGCATCTGCAATTTTTTCCCTTTTCTTCCTCAAGCTCAGGAGCATCTATTTAATGTAAAATGCATTTTTTTAGCTCCCAATACTGAAAACTAGAATAGGCATTTAGAAGGGCTCTTAGGGAAAAAGAAACAACAGACTGTACACGCTATTAACGCAAGTCTGTCCTTGTGTTGCTAGCTTGGAATCTGAACCAGATATGTTTCACTGTAGCAAGCACAGATTTAAGTGACCCATACAGCTTTCTGGTTTAAACAGTTATGGAAAGAACCTCAGACAAACAGCGTGGTGATGTGCAACCAGAACCATGAATTATTATGGCGTTTTCTTCATTTATCCAAAAGCCATACTATGGTGTGATATCAGAAGCACTGTCTATATCATTTGATAGCTGGGCATTTTTGAATTTTAATGGATATAACATTAATAATCCCCTACAGGTTATGAAGGAAAAGCAGGAATGGCCTCTGTCATCTTAAAGCCTAATAAGTCTTTAGATCTGGAACAACTTTATCAACATGTGGTGATGTATCTGCCCAGCTATGCCTGTCCACTCTTTTTAAGACTCCAGGTAATAATATACGAAGCACCGTAGGCATGTCTCCAAGCCTCTTAATCATTAGCAGGAAATCAGCTCAGCGATCTACTAAGCCACACATACTGAACACTAAGTGATGACTTCAGAGAAAGCTACCTAATGGGTATTTCAGAAATCAGTTGTACACTTAGTCCTCTTTACCATTTCCATTAACAAGTTGGAATTAGATAGCACACTAATGAAAACTACAGATTATGCTAAATTGGAAAGAGTTGTGTACCCCAGGAAAGATAATATAAAGGGATTAGTGGGATTAGAAACATGAATCAGGAATAACAAAATGAAATTTCGACTGGCAAAAGAAATAATGTTGGAATGTAGAGATTCCGCATCTAGAACAGAGCATATTAGAAATTACATAATAGCAGACTCACCCCCCCCCAAAGCTGGTGCCCACCAGATCCTTTGACCTAAAATACCCATCAGCCTCAGCCAGCATTGCCAATGGTCAGTAGTTCCAGCAACATTGGGAGGGGGGCACCAGGTTGCTAGTGACTCTTTGAAAAGTGAAGTCAGTTAGACAGTTGTTTGTAGTGTTGGGTCAAGGCTGGCCAACATGGTGCCCTCTGGATGTTGTTGTTGGACTCCAACTCCCACCAACCCCAGCCAGGGTGGCCGATGGGCAGGAGTGAGTTGTCATCCGACAACGTATGGAATGCACTGTGTTGGCTATCCATAAAATAAATACAGTCTCAGCTTACATCTGTTGGCCACCACGTTTCATAACTGGATTTTGTAAATGGAAATATTGTGAGCCAGGGGGACTGGGGGGTCCTTGCCTGCATCAATATCTGGTAGGGAGGGGTACTGGGAGGTAATAAAGGCTGCTCTTGGGTGAGACTGAAAGATACATACTAAGAACTGAATCCTGCAAGACTTTAGCTTTGCTGTGCTTCTAATAGGAAGACCGTTAAGAATTGCTTTTGAATTGAGCAAATGCATCTCTGTGTATTTCCTCACACAGTGCAATAGGAAAAAGAGAAAGAGCAGAAAAATAAGATCAGGGAAATTATATATGACCACATGCCTTGGTAGATATACCTAGTTGTCCTTACTGGCTTTTGCAGAACACTTTTTGGTTGGGCAAAGGATTTTTAAAAATTGAATAAGCCGTGTGTCATTATAGAGATGAGCCTCACTGCCTTTTCCATCTTTGATTTCTGTGACAGTTGTATGAGTCAGAGGAAAGTTATGTGGGCAGCTAAAACCATTTGTATAAATCTTTGTATCAAATATTATCTCTTAAAAATTTTGTAATATCATCTTTAGTTTCCAAACAAATTTATAGATTTAAAAGTTCAGCAAATTATAGGATATTGGTGTATTATAAAGCTACTTTTATAAATTCTGCTTCAAAGATCCCATACACAAGCTTCAGAACTCCATGCTTGACATTAAGTTGGTTCACACAACACAATGAGCCAAACTATAGCTTACCGAAACAGTTCAAATGTGTGTGCAACCTCCGAGGATTTATTTCCTCACTAATCACAAGCTGTGGTCAAGGTTTGTTATTGACTACAACTCATAGCTCAGACTTTCACGTGGTCTCAGTAAGCCATAGTTTGGATTTCCTTCTTGCGTGAACCAAGTTAATGAAGCTGCATTTTGCATTTCATGTTAAACCATGGTTTATTGTGATGTACATGAGCAAGAACAAACCTTGCGATCATGTGCTCCCTCTCTCTCCTCCAGCATTGTGGCTGAGGGGTTAAGAAGCATTTAGTTTTGCTTCTGGTTTATAATGTCATGGGACATTTTTTTAAAAAAAGTCATTAACGTTAACTGTTAATTTCAAACATGTCAAATTCAAACCAAGGGTTATGGAACTAGTTTGTTGAAACTGACTACAGTTGGTGTTAATCAAAATTCAGGGTCTGGAGGATATGGCAAATTGTGGTTAACTAAAAGCAGAGGCAAAACCTCCCAGATTCTTGGCCTTATAAGCAACCCAAGGTCATTGTGATTCATTCGCATCATGCTGCATCATGGTTTCATGAGTTATTCAACGGTAGCCTCAGCCTCTGAAGATATTCATCTCCCCCCACAAATGAAGATTTAACACATCTCTTGGTGAGCGTGTTTTGTTTACAGCAAACAAACTAAAAATCTTCTCTTTTGCCTGTAGGAAGTAATGGAAGTCACAGGAACTTTCAAGCAACAAAAATTTCAGTTGGTCCAGGAAGGATTTAATCCATCTGAAATCAGTGACCCACTATATTTTTTGGACAATTGTAAGAAGTCTTACGTTTTATTAACTAAAGAACTGCACGATAGAATCTTATCTGGACAAGTGAAACTTTAGTGCTTATTAATAAGGATTTTACAAGCTGCTTCACAAGACAAGACAAAACTTTAAGCATGTTTGTCAGCTATATCCTGTATGGTCTCCTGGTGAAGAGATGTACACTGCTGAATTTTACAGTAAATATTAGGGAGGGATTATGCTTTATTAATCTTTCTCTGTTTTGACCATCAGTGCATACTAATCTACCTCTTATAGTGCAATCCTAGGCATGTCTACTCAGAAGTAAGTCCTATCGAATTCAGTAAGATTTACTCCAAGGCTAGCCTTAGACTATCATTGGTTCAGTATTTTATAGTTTTCATATAAATATCTCCTAATTAAATGTTGTTTATGATCAGCATAAACAAATGACATTGAGAGAATAACAAAGCTACAGCGAAATTATCTTTCGCTGTCTTACGCTGCATATTTTATAGTATAATCTCCCTCTGCTGGACAAAAACTGGTCACTATTAGCAGTAGATGGCCGTTGTTCCTAATGGCCACCTCCTAACTACACAGGCATACCTCTTTTTATTGCACAGTGCTTTATTGTGCTTTACAGAAATTTATCATTGTGAGGATGTCAGTGCAGCTGCAAGAAGCCCAGCCAGGGAAAGGAGGCCTTCTTACTACTGCCTCTCTTCTCGAGAATGGAGCAGGCCAGGGCTGGAGCCAGGTTTTTCCTCTCCCGCCCCTGCAGCCAGGGAGTCTTTGCTTAATAGTGTAAACATAACACTCATATGCACTGAGAAACAAAATAAAAGTTAAGTTGTGGGTGAACATATCAGACGACACAGGGATTCTTCAAACAGCTCTTGTTTATTCACAGGCCAGAACAGAACTGAACTGAAGGGTTCAGCCAGCCTGCTTATATAGAGCTCCACTAGAACACAACAGTAACCATTTTCTGTAACTGTCCAATCACTGAATGTCACTTTCAATCCTTTATTTGCATATGTGGACCTGAACTATCTACAGTATCCCCCTGCTGGCCCAGGGTGAGAACTTCAGTACATAACAGTGTGACTCCCTTTTTTTTGCAATATTCGCTTTATTGCAGTGGTCTGGAACGGAACTTACCATATATCCAAGTTATGCCTATAAACATTTATTTCTTAAAAACAATAAACAGTTGAAAAGAGAGAATCATGCCACAATCTTGATTTGTTAACTCTGCAAAAATCATGCCTCTGTGATAATTTGTGCTGCAATTCTGTACACCTGGGGCCAAGCCACTACTGAATACAGTGGGACATGCTCCTGAGTAGACATATTCAGTATTGTGCTATTACTTCTGACACGCAGGACTGCAACAATATTTGTTTTACTGAAACAGAAATTATTCACATCCTTATTTTAATGTTTTCTAATCTTAATGGCCACTGAACCACAGTAGTATTCTTTGTTTAAAAACTTAGTACCAACTTGTAGTCCCTCTCTGCACAGAACTCTTCTGAATGCTTTTATTTCCAAAACTGAATAAATTAAATTGCAGTCCTGTACGTACTTACCTCAGACTAGACACACATAGGATTGTGCTGTTAGTGTTCTGTTTTTGAGCATGAAACAAAGATAACACGTTGATTTCAGTTCCTATGCAAATATACAGGAAGAATACCTTTGTCTGCAATAATACGAGAAGGTTGTGCAGATGTCTTTTGCACACTGGGTACCTGTATCTTGCACATTAGGAATTTCCTATCATATACCTGTAGTAAAACAAGAACTTTTTTACATGTACGCAACAGGTGTTTTTGTTCGTTCATTAAAAAAACCAAAACCCTTCCCCCTAAGAGAATTGCCATTTGTAAAGCAGCCCTCGCTTGAAGGTGTTCCTAGTTGTAAAACAATACTTCTTATTTATTTTAATACATTTTTAAGTCTCATTCTTCTGTGCCAGACTTATGGCAGTGCACAATGAATGATTGAAAAATTTCTTCACTATGCATCATGACACTCCACCTGGCACACAGTCCCATTCTTGTAGAAACTAGCTATCTGATCCACTTTCTGTACCTTTAAATTTCTATTGCCCTAGAAACTAGGGCAGGGGTCAGTAACCTTTTTCAGCTGTCGGCCGGTCCACAGTCCCTCAGACTATGTGTATTAAGTTGTGGGTGAACATATCAGACGACACAGTGATTCTTCAAACAGCTCTTGTTTATTCACAGGCCAGGACAGAACTGAACTGAAGGGTTCAGTCAGCCTGCTTATATAGAGCTCCAGTACAATGTAACTGTAACAATTTTCTAAAACTACCCAATCACTGAATGTCACTTTTGATTCTTTATTTGCATAACTATCTACAGTATCCCCCTGCTGGCCCAGGGTGAGAACTTCAGTACATAACAATGTGGTAGGCCAGACTATATTTTTTGGGGGGAAATGAACGAATTCCTATGCCCCACAAATAACCCAGAGATGCATTTTACATAAAAGGACACATTCTACTCATGTAAAAACACACTGATTCCCAGACCATCTGGGGGCCGGATTGAGAAGGTGATTGGGCCGCATCTGACCCCCGGGCCTTAGGTTGCCTACCCCTGAACTAGGGCATGGATCCAAAGGATTTCTGTGTGAGTAAAGAGGCTCTTCTGCCCACACAGCCTCCCTTTCTTGCTGCTAGCCATCCCCACCTGCCATATGCCATTCTGTTTCGGCTGTTTCCCCCCAGTCCTCAGAAGCAGAGATTCAGAGGATAGAGAGGGTTTAAGAGGAAAGGGGCTGTTGGGAACATCTAGCTTCATTCACAGAACGAAAATTAGGATCCAGGCCAAAATCCCTGAGTGTAGCATAGAACTAGCAATCACAGACAGTAAGAAGACACCCGTGCACAAACTTCAGCACCTTTTAAAAAGAAGTATATTGCATTTCCCTTCCTACCATTCTACAGTGATTGCTTTGTAAGCTCTTCAGAGCATGACAGGCAATAGAAACGCCTCGTACCCTTGGCCCAGTGCTGTTAAGTCAGAAGTGCCCATTAACTCCTTGTAAGTGATGAACAATGGATCTCCGAGATCTTAAACTAAAATACCAATTCTGTAAATGCTGTTTTTCTTGACTTTATTAAAAGCAAGTTCCTTTCTCATTTTACACACACATTAACTGGTGTTTTTTTAAATAAACAATAAAGGTAGAACATAAAGGAGTGGGAGCATAGCTCAGTTGTAGAGGTTTTTTTTTTAATAAAAAAATAAAGGTAGAACATAAAGGAGTGGGAGCATAGCTCAGTTGTAGAGCACATGTTTTTCAGGCAGGAGGCCTGATGTTTATTCCCTGGCACCTCCGGTTAAAAGGATGATGTTTCCTGCTCTCTGCTTGAGAAAGGATGCTGTTGGTCAGAGTAGGTGGTATGGGACGAAGATGGACAAATGGTCCAGCTTGGTATGAGGCTTCCTGTGTTCCTGTGATTTTTTTATTATTATACAAAATGTATTAATAAGCTGCTTTCATAAATAATAAAGGACCAGAATTTTTAAAACGTAACGTATTTTTGTTTCAGTTTTAATCATGCACTTATGGTTGTGGTTGTTGTTTAACTGTTCACTCGTGTCCGACTCTTCATGACCCCATGGATCAGAGCACACCAGGCACTTCTGTCTTCCACTGCCTCCCGCAGTTGGGTCAAACTCATGCTGGTAGCTTCGAGAACACTGTCCAACCATCTCGTCCTCTGTCGCCCCCTTCTCCTTGTGCCCTCAATCTTTCCCAACATAAGGGACTTTTCCAGGGAGTCTTCTCTTCTCATGAGGTGGCCAAAGTATTGGAGCCTCAGCTTCACGATCTGTCCTTCCAGTGAGCACTCAGGGCTGATTTCCTTCAGAATGGAGAGGTTTGATCTTCTTGCAGTCCATGGGACTCTCAAGAGCCTCCTCCAGCACCATAATTCAAAATCATCAATTCTTCGGCGTTCAGCCTTCTTTATGGTCCAGCTCTCACTTATGGTATGTTTACAATTTTGTGGCTCGGGAATATATGGGAAATTCCCACCAAATTCGGAGTAGAGAAACTGCCAGATTAGTTATGAGGAAAATATGCCCCTCTTTAATGATGTGCAAACTTTCCCTGAAATATCATGTTATGGAACAGCGGATCTGTTGGTTGGGAGAACTCTAGACTTTCAGTCAATAAAAATGAGAGTCAAATTATTATTGAATAATGACCAAGTCAAATAATAATACATTTCTACAAATAGTTTCTATTCTTAATGGTAATTCTATGTTATGCATATCAGCATACCAGTTTATATCTCCATGATGTGTTGTTTTATTCCCAAGGTAAGAAGAAAATACTTGTGGCACTATCTAGCCAAAGTTAAGAGTCGTGTTGACTCTAGTGGAAGAGAGTTAAGCATGGGACTTAAAAGTGCTTATGTTTGACTGGATCATGCCTACACTGTTTTATTTAAACAGTTACATCCTGCTGTCTATCTGCAGGCTGTTCAGTAGTTCTGTTTTAATGGATTTCCCCCATTCATTTCATTATGGTTATAAGGAAAAGCTAGGAGATAATCTGATTTCCATTTAGTACAAGTAAGAATTGTACAAATACAATGCGATCATCAGATATAAAGCACATTTGTAACAATCCCTTCTGTTAATGCTTTATTTTCTTCCTTCTTCCCCAGTTCCAATCTATTTATATAAATGTGTTTTTGTTAGGATGATGAAACTCCTTTAGATCAATTCAAATGATAAGAAATGCAAAGTAGTTGAAGATGAATGAATCGAAACCCAAATAATTGCAGAAACAATCAGCGTGGTGGATCTTTATGTCTAACACTAAATAGGCAAGCTGTTTTAGAAGTACACCAATTGCATGCATGAGAGTTTTTCTTTTTGCTAATGTGTTAGGCAGGAATATGTATTAAAAAGTAATTCAAGCTCAGGAGTCTGATATGAGCCAGCAACTCAGCTTTCTACACAAAATCCCTAAAGCAATTACCCTCCTGCTCCCAATTATAATATATTTCTAGAGGCAAGAAGCCTGCTGTCAAATTAAGAACTGTGCTTCCCTTTTCTATCTCCATGTTCAAAAAATAATAATACATTTTGCTTTTTGCCTAAAGTGATGCACAAAATTTAAAGATAAGGCCAGATTTAACAAAACACATTATTTCAGGAACAATTTTGATTTCTGTACCACTTCAGTCAAATTAGAAACTACTGTAGAGAGCTTGTGCATGTTCCCTTGGTAAAGGCTGTTCTCCGATTGAAGCACTTGCAGGCCAGTGTTTCCCAGTCATCGGTATTTATACTACATTTTTAAAGAATTGCGTGGAGAGAGTCTTTAAACCTCTTTTGTTGACCACCAGCATTACACTTTAAAAATTTCCATTTTTAAGTTCGGAATAGAGTAGTTGCTTTGGAAGACGACAATCAGGCATCCGAACAACATGACCAGTCCAACGAAGTTGATGTTGAAGAATCGTTGCTTCGACACTGGTTATCTTTCCTTCTTCCAGTACACTGTCATTAGTTTGCCTGTCTTCCCAAGTGATGTGTAAATTGTTTTGGAGACACCGTTGATGGAATCTTTCGAGGAGTTGGAGATGGCGTTTATAAGTGGTCCATGTTTCACAAGCATACAGTAAGGTTGGTAGTACAATAGCTTTGTAAACAAGCATTTTGGGTTTCCCTGCGAATGTCGCAGTCCTCAAACACTTTGCACTTCAGTCACAGAGCTCAGGTGATGCTGGATTTCGGCATCACTGTTGGCCCTTGTGGGAACATAACTGGGACCCTTTTCTGGCTGAGGAGCAAGGTAAAAATCCCTCCAATAAACAAACTTCAGTTATTTGTTTATGAATTTTGAAACTGCATTTGAGGACAACACATTCACAGCAATCAGAAGTGGGTAGGTGGGTAGAGACACGGCAGAGCTACAGCTGCAGCCAAAGCCTTTCCAACTTTGTTTTGAACCCCCTGCCCAGAAGCCAAGGAAGGGCTGAATGCGGTCAAAGTCCCATTTAGTTCAGCCTTCTGGTCCCACAGTGGCCAATCACATGCATATAGGGAGCCTGCAAGAGGACCTGAGCGCAATAGTGCTTTTTTCACTTGTGATTCCTAGCAAAGTAGTACAGTCGTACCTTGGAAGTTGAACAGAATCTGTTCCGGAAGTCCATTCAACTTCCAAAACATTCGGAAACCAAAGTGCGGCTTCTGATTGGCTGCAGGAAGTTCCTGCCAGGCAATCGGAAGCCATGGAAGCCCCATCGGACATTCGGCTTCCAAAATTAGTTCACAAACTGGAACAGTCACTTCTGGGTTTGTGGCCTTTGAGAGCTAAGCTGTTTGAAAATCAAGGTACGACTGTATTCAGAAGCATTCTGCCAACAGTAGATGGGGGAATGAAGGGGTATTGGACTCAACAGATATCAACATGTTTTGTTTCAGGGCCTGCTGCTAGTAGAAACCACCGGTGGTAGATCTACACCCACTAAGCTTTCCATAGGTGTGCTGAGATCCGCCACAGATCTGCCTTCGCAGCAGCACTTTTCTCTGCTAGCAAAGGAATACTTCCACATCATCCAAATCTCCAGCCAGTGGCTCTGCAAGTTCAGATTGAACTCCCAAGGTGGTATACAATGCAAAGTAATGAGTGCAGTAATCAATTAAACAAAATGTATAGAATCTACCAAGGCCCAGCTGCCACATCTTGGGGCACAGAAGGCAATGTTAATTTTAAGAACCTAATGGTGCTCCCATCACAATAATATACCTACCTGGATGGAGAGGATAATACAGCTGTGGTCTCATAATAAAAGCTGGTAATACAGTGGCTGAAATTAATGAGGAAAAGTTTGCAGAAGTACCATTCAGTGGAAAGTATGTAGAACAAGTTGACAAGTTCACATGGTTTAAAAAGTTCAGTGGAGCTAGCAGGGCAAATGTAAGGTAACTTACAGGCTTGAAACAGATACAATACATAGAATATACAATAATTGGGGAAATAAGCTCGACAGCAGTCACTGCTTTATCTATCATTCAAAATTCAGGACACTAAAGAAACTGGGTGGAAGAAAATCTTGTTGAGCAGAGCTTAGCTTGTTGAGGAAGCTCTTGACAGGTCTCCAGAGACTATAGACAAAATGAGGATATCAATTCAGACCTCGGCTGACATTGAATGATGGAAGGAAGAAGAGTAGGTCACAGTGGTTCAGCAGTACTAAAGCAGAAAATAGCAAATAACTCTGAATCTAGACATGAATGTGTGGAAGGATGAAAAAAAGGAGGCAAGACTGTTTTTGAAAAGAATATCTCAGCAAGATTGCATAAGTTTTTCTTGGACAAAGGAACAAAATTTTGTCAGGGTTGCTTCTCACAAGACAGATAAGGGAAAACACATGTCCTGTGTGGACACCATCACATATGAAAGCAGGGGAGGGGGGAGAGAGATGTACCTTCACAGTATAATGTACATGTCCTTTGCTATACAAAAATATACTTGTAGGAGACTTACGCGTGTAAGTAAGAGGTCAGACCAGACACCATGAAACTAAGCTGGTTTAAATTCAATGGCTGCAATTTAACTGACTTGTGGAAAAGACTGATTAAGAAACTAAACTCTAGGAGGAAGGCGGGCTGGATAAAAATATTCTGCTGCAAAAAATTTTTAGTACATGTATTCAATAGACAAATACAGAGAGATCAATTGAGATGAATGATGCACATATCCATGTGTGTGCTGCTATATCAGCATTTGCAGAGGAGCAAGTCTGTTTGGTCAAATAGGTACCCATGTTATTGAATTAATGCTGGGCAATGTCTGCAATCCCTTCTACCACCCACCTTGACCTGGAAATAGAGTGCTCAATAAGAGATAGGTATTCCCATATTAAACACTTCTAGAACCACTATTTCTTGGACTTTTCTGGGCTGGTTGACTATCTGTCCTAAATATTGTAGAGGCTCATTTGCTCCCAGTTCAACTGCTGTCAAAATCAAAAACATGAATCCCGATGGAACAGACAAAAGATTCATCTCGTTCACCATCCTGTATCCCACATTTATTTCTGTTTTGTGGAAAGCTGTCCCCAGGGAACGGGAGGTGCCAATCTTGTGTGATGTATGAGTCATTGGTTATTAGCTCCAGGTAAGCTGATCCTGAGTTAAACATCCCTTGTGAAAATAGCACTGCACAAGTGCAAAGGGTGTCCTGGGCTGGTTAGCATGGATTGGATTATACTTCATATTGCCACAGCCCTAGACTGCCTCTGCAGTGCATTATGTTTAACCAAGCCCTTCTTGAGTCATTCCAGACTTCTTGTTGCACTGATACAATACATTGCATCCAATCCAAAATTTTAGCATCATAGCTAGAAAAGTTGGGGGGGGGGAAGCAACAAAATACATTACACTATATTTGCAATTAGGAATTGCAATAGATGTACAATAAAACTGTAAAATGCTGGTCATTACTATGCCATCCTGAATGCTAAATTACTACAGTAGTCTTTAAAAGTAACACATGGCAAATTAAGACTGATTAAATCAAATGAGCGAAATAGGATTGACACTATCATATTTTAATTAAGGAACTGGAATTGATTCAAGTTGGTTAATGACTAGCTCATACAGCTGACCACTTCAGGAGCTTCTGTCATAACAGCATTAAATTATTGGCTGCAGTCATGAACTCAATCAGCATTAGGATAAGCCTTGTTGAGTAATTAAGCTGGCCACTGAAAAAAAATTGATGTATTTCAGACTCTGTGTCCCTATTTTCCATGGATAGTCCAATTTACAGAAGCCACCCGTTTCTGATTTGTCCTCAGAATGTCCCGCTTTTCCTTAGGACGTCCCTATTTTCATCGGAGAAACGTTGAAGAGCATGGAATTATGTGGCCCACAAGCCAGGGAGATAAGTGACTAGATAACCTTTAGAAGACATCTGAACTGTATAGGGAAGTTTTAATGTTTAATGTTTTATTATGTTTTATAGAATCATAGAATCATAGAGTTGGAAGAGACCACAAGGGCCATCGAGTCCAACCCCCTGCCAAGCAGGAAACACCATCAGAGCACTCCTGACATATGGTTGTCAAGCCTCTGCTTAAAGACCTCCAAAGAAGGAGACTCCACCACACTCCTTGGCAGCAAATTCCACTGTTGAACAGCTCTTACTGTCAGGAAGTTCTTCCTAATGTTTAGGTGGAATCTTCTTTCTTGTAGTTTGGATCCATTGCTCCGTGTCCGCTTCTCTGGAGCAGCAGAAAACAACCTTTCTCCCTCCTCTATGTGACATCCTTTTATATATTTGAACATGGCTATCATATCACCCCTTAACCTCCTCTTCTCCAGGCTAAACATGCCCAGCTCCTTAGCCGTTCCTCATAAGGCATCGTTTCCAGGCCTTTGACCATTTTGGTTGCCCTCCTCTGGACACGTTCCAGTTTGTCAATGTCCTTCTTGAACTGTGGTGCCCAGAACTGGACACAGTACTCCAGGTGAGGTCTGACCAGAGCAGAATACAGTGGCACTATTACTTCCCTTGATCTAGACGCTATACTCCTATTGATGCAGCCCAGAATTGCATTGGCTTTTTTAGCTGCCGCGTCACACTGTTGGCTCATGTCAAGTTTGTGGTCAACCAAGACTCCTAGATCCTTTTCACATGTACTGCTCTCAAGCCAGGTGTCACCCATCTTGTATTTGTGCCTCTCATTTTTTTGCCCAAGTGCAATACTTTACATTTCTCCCTGTTAAAATTCATCTTGTTTGTTTTGGCCCAGTTCTCTAATCTGTCAAGGTCGTTTTGAAGTGTGATCCTGTCCTCTGGGGTGTTAGCCACCCCTCCCAATTTGGTGTCATCTGCAAATTTGATCAGGATGCCCTTGAGTCCATCATCCAAGTCGTTGATAAAGATGTTGAATAAGACCGGGCCCAAGACAGAACCCTGTGGCACCCCACTAGTCACTCTTCTCCAGGATGAAGAGGAACCATTGATGAGCACCCTTTGGGTTCGGTCAGTCAGCCAGTTACAAATCCACTGAGTGGTAGCATAGTCAAGACCGCATTTTACCAGCTTCTTTACAAGAATATCATGGGGCACCTTGTCAAATGCCTTGCTGAAATCAAGGTAGGCTACATCCACTGCGTTCCCTTCATCTACCAGGCTTGTAATTCTGTCAAAAAACTGTCAAAAAACGAGATCAGGTTAGTCTGACATGACTTATTTTTCAGAAATCCATGCTGACTATTGGTGATCACAGCATTCCTTTCTAGGTGCTCACAGACTGTTTGCTTAATGATCTGCTCCAGAATCTTCCCTGGTATTGATGTCAGACTGACTGGGCGGTAATTATTTGGGTCCTCTCTTTTCCCCTTTTTGAAAATAGGGACAACATTTGCCCTTATGTATGTTGGAAGCCACCCAGAGTAGCTGGGGCAACCCAGTCAGATGGGCAGGGTAATAATAATAATAATAATAATAATAATAATGGAATCTGGACAGTGGTTTTCAACCAGTGTGCTGTGGCCCCCTGGGATGCCTTGAATTTTGGTCAGGGGTGCCACGGGCAACATTGGCCTCTGCCCCTCTTTCCTTCCCTCCCTCCTTTAATGCCCTCTTGCATCTCTGCCTCCCAAAGGCTTCCACAGCTGTTTATTACAGCAGCCCTGGCTACAAGCTCCCCAGGCGAATGGTGCCTCTGGGGCTCGCCAGGGGGTGCTTCCCAGGCCCCTGTGGGGCAGTGTGAGGCGGCACCTCTCTTTGGGGCAGGAAGGGCAGCTCAGAGACCAGGGGCGCTAGCCCAGAGGACTCCCATGGAGAGGAGGCTGAGGGAACCCTCCCCAAGGGAGGGTGTTTGAAAAAGGGCAAGAGGCTGCCCACTCTGCAGGCAAGGGGTAGCATAACTGCCCCACAGGGGTGCCACAGAAAGAATGCAGTTGGTCAAGGGCAGGGCTGGATTTAGGTTTGATGAAGCCCTAAGCTACTGAAGGTAATGGGGCCCTTTATACAGGGTTAGTCCTTTAAAAGAGGCCCCGTGGATACAAAGTACACATGTTCCACGGGGCCTCTTTTAAAAGACTCACCTTGTATATCCAGCTGTCCTTTGTCAACAACAAATTGCCTCTGTTTATTGTATTGACTATATGTGTTAAGTTGTGGGTGAACATATCAGACGACACAGGGATTCTTCAAACAGCTCTTGTTTATTCACAGGCCAGAACAGAACAGAACTGAAGGGTTCAGCCAGCCTGCTTATATAGAACTCCACTACAACACAACAGTAACCACTTTCTGTAACTATCCAATCACTGAACGTCACTTTCAATCCCTTATTTGCATATGTGGACTTGAGTGTAAATTATCTACAGTATCCCCCTGCTGGCCCAGGGTGAGAACTTCAGTACATAACAATATGCTATATGGTAATTTATGGACCTATTAGGTATCTAAACCCATTTGCACATGCAGAATGTAGGCACCCTATATACAGAAATGAGCAAACCAGTGATATTTTAGGGAGCAAGCTAGCAGGTGGGGCCCGTTACTTCCATCATAGGAGCCCACACAACACAAAACACTATTGCTGCATGTAGGTTTTATTTTGTTTGGTTTTTTTATCTTACATTTTGGAAATGTACATCCAGTTTTCCCCCTTTAATTTTTTGGGGGCCCCCAAGAGAGTGGGGCCCTAAGCTATAACTTGTTTAGCTTATGGGTAAATCCAGCACTGGCAGGGGAGCCACGGACCCCAAAAGTCAAAAACCTCTGGAATAAGGCGTTCCTATTTTCATCAGGGAAATGTTGGAGGGATTGAAAACACTTGACTGGCCAAAACCCCAAAGTGGCACAGCCTCTCTCTCTCTCTCTCTCTCTTTGGCAAGGGTGGTGCTGGCATCTGCTTGTCGTGGTACAATTATTCGCCGGCAGATGGAAACCACAAGAGCCGAGGAAACGAGGGAAGGGGCATTTCCACCCCATCCCGAATTTCCCCTCAGACTGCCAGGCGGCAGCAGCCGCCGCCATAGCCCTGCTTCCCCGCGGCCACCGCCTCTAAGCACCGTCACTGGCCACCTCAGATCCCCCCCCCTCTCTCTCCACAGCGCAAGCCCGTATCCTTCCGCGCCAGCCAGCACAACGCGCGTGGATTGCGTGGGGGGCGAAGGAGACGACGGAGCGGCTCCCGGCGAGGCGATAACGGGGACGCGGCCTGAGGGCGGGCGCGGAAGGCTCGAGGGGGAGCGAAGCGCGGCGGCCACCTGCGCGCTCCGCCCCGGCCAGGCGAGCCGAGGCAGGGCTGGCTCCCATGGTGAGGAGGAGGAGGAGCAGGAGCCGCGATTGGGAGCCGCCGGCGCGCCCCGTCTGGCCGGGAGGCGGCACCGGCAGCGGCAGCGGGAGGAGGAGCAGCGGAGGCGCGGAACTGGAGCGGCTGCCCGCGAACATGGCGGCGGCGGAGCAGCAGCAGCCCTTGGTGGAAGGCTCCGCCGGCGGCGGCGGCTCGTCTCCCGGCTCGGTGCCGGTGCTGTTCTGCTTCTCGGTGTTCGCCAGGCCTTCGACGGTGCCGCACGGCTCGGGCTACGAGGTGCTGATCCAGAAGTTCCTGAGCCTCTACGGCGACCAGCTGGACATGCACCGCAAGTTCGTGGTGCAGCTCTTCTCCGACGAGTGGAGCCAGTACATCGACCTGCCCAAGGGCTTCCTGGTGGGCGAGCGCTGCAAAGTGCGCCTGGTGCCGCTGCAGATACAGGTGGGCGCGGGGGGGAGCCGGCAGGGGGGCGAGCCTTGCGCACCCAGACCCGTTTCTTTGCGCGGTGGGTGGGTGGGTGGGTGGGGGGCGCGGGGTTGGGTCTCCCCTGCTCACTTTCCCCGTCACGGAAAGGGGGAGATCCCTTCGCCCCCACCATCCTCTCCCGTTTGCAGGAGGAGGAGGTGGTGAACTCTCCCGGCTGGCAGCTTGCTGGTTCCCTGCCGCCCAAACACGCGGGACAAACTCCAGGTCTGCCTCCTGCCCAGAGAGAAAAGCATAAATCTCTCTCTCTCTCTCTCTCTCGCATTCCTTTTCTCTTATAAAAACAGCTGCCAGGTGCAGGTCTGAAGTGGGTAGTGACATGGGCGTCGCAGAGGGGGGCAGCTGCCCCATCCCCCAGATCAAGTAAAACAATAGAAATACTCAGTGCTTTTTTTTCTTTTAAAAAATGTTTAGGAGTATTCTCATTTTCCTATTGATATTAAAAATACTGCCCCTCGTTGAGGCCGGACTTAGATGCACAAAATGTTTAGGGGTATGCGTAACCCCCCAGAAAAAAAGCACAGGAAATAACTAACTGACCCCTCGCATCGGTCCCCCCCCAAACAAAATTCCTGGCTGCGCCCATGTGTAGCGATCCTTACCACCAACCATGGAGGGTAGGCCAATGCCAGTATGGCACTTGCAGACACTAAAAGTGTCCCTATTTTGCAGGGACGGTCCCGGATTTACAGAAGCCGTCCTCGTTTCTGGTTTTAGCCCGGAACGTCTCACTTTTCCTTAGGACGTCCCTATTTTTATTGGCAGGTATGGTAGGACATCCCTATTTTAATCAGAGAAACGTTGAAGGGTATGGAGTTATGCAACCCCGGAGCCAAGGAGATAAGTAACTAGACAACCTTTAAAAGACATCTGAAGGCAGTCTCGTATAGGGAAGTTTTTTTAAATGTTTTATTAGGTTTTGACATAAGTTGGAAGCTGCACAGAGTGGCTGGGGCAACCTAGTCAGATGGGCGGGGTATAAATATATTATTTTTTATCATCATCATGGAATAGGGCTTTCCTATTTTCATCAGAGAAGTGTTGGTATGTGCTTGGGTAGCAGAGGCAAAAAGAAAGGAGGGCTTTCCTCCTAGAGCCATGTAAGGTGTTTCTGGCTCAGGTGAGATGTGAAGGGGGGCTCTATTGCACAGCACATCAGGTAATCTGGTCCAAAGCATTTTTAATTTTAAGACCATGCCACCCAGTGATTTCAGTGGGGCTTGCTTCCATCTCCTCATTTAAAATACTGGGCAGAGTAGCAAGAAATCCCCTGAAGATGGGAGGAGAAATCGGATTCTTCCCACCTCCAGAAGGCAGGAGAATGATGTTGGCAGGTGGAGCATGACTCTCCTGACACGTCTCCACTTCGGCTTACTCAATTTTGATGAGGGTAAGGGCTTCTCATCTAACCCCAGCTGAGAATTGGGAGTGCCTTTCACCTCACCCATCTGATAATCCAGGGACGAAGTGCCCTCCTGCCCCAGAAAGCCAGAAATGGACTCAAAGGCAATACAGTGGTACCCCAGGTTAAGTACCTAATTCGTTCCAGAGGTCCGTGCTTAACCCGAAACTGTTCTTAACCTGAAGCACCACTTTAGCTAATGGGGCCTCCTGCTGCTGCCGTGCCGCCAGAGCCCGATTCCGATTTCTGTTCTTATCCTGAAGCAAAGTTCTTAACCTGAAGCACTGTTTCTAGGTTAGCGGAGTGTGTAACCTGAAGCCTATGTAACCTGAAGCGTATGTAACCCGAGGTACCACTGTACGAAGGAGAGCCTTCTGTTGGACTTATGTTATCCTGAAGCTGGCAAGGAAAGTATTCTCAGTCCAAAATTAAAGTAAGAGTTTGCAGATTTAGGAAAGGCCATTTGGTAATGCATTCAATTTGAACTAGGTATGTGAGACTAGTTATATAAAAAATCTACGCAAAGCATCCACTTGGAAACATAGCTGAGTGCAGAATACGTCTCTAGAAAGCAAGTGTGTAAGGGCATCTAACCTCAGGAGAAAGCAGGGAACTTTCATCCACCGCCACAGCATACAAGTACAAACTGTACATTCAGTAATGCCTCTTTGTCAGTTAGGGAACGTGTTTTGAGGAACAATAACAGCCTGATCTTGTGCAGAGTCAGGCACCGTATTATTGAAAAAACAGACTAGTTTAAATATATTGCTTCAAATCACTTGCACTTAACTATCCCACAAATTTGCTCAAAATAGAGGTGCAAGCGCTCATTTCCTCTACTTGTCCCTACCCAATTTTGATCAGTATTTAGGCATTCTCATCCTGTCACGGCTGCAAGCTTTAAGTCCCAGTAACAATCAATAGTGTGCTGCTGCTCATGAAAGGGAGGCTGAATTGAAAGATGCCGAACAGACTGAGTGTAGGAGACCATGCTAAACATTTGGTTTGGTTTGCTGTCCTTACTCGATAGCACACATTCATTAGCCCTGTTCAGACATCACATTAAAACCGTAGTTTGAAACAAGTTCTCAGAGTGCTCCTGCTGCTGCTCTGTCTGACTTGTCCTTTGAACTGAGGCTTGTAGTTTTTCTCTTCAGACAAACCAAAAGGTTTGTTCTGGGCCTGTTGCTTATGGTTTGTTTGAGGGAAATAAGCCACAAACCTGTGTTTTGACATCGCAAGAAGTCAGTCTGGCTTGCTTTGTCTGCAGTGCCAGGGAACCTTTGAGCAGCAGGCACCAGCTTGCTTCTCATTTATCTCAAACCATAGTTTCTTCTAAAGTTAAGCTAAATGTCATGTACAAACTGTGCCAGTGTGCACAAAAAAGGTACTTGAAAGAATTTTTCAAAGTTAAGCCACACTGCATTTACTGATGGTGAGTCAGCTCCAGCTTAAACTTTCATCTTTTAAGCAACTTTACGTATGCTTATCACGGACATAAAATAATTCCCAAGTAGTTGCTCACACTGTTGAAAAATTACGAGTGCAGTCCGGAGAGCCACTTCCACTAACATAAGGGAGGTGAGTTTTGATTTCTTCCAACTGCAGCCCCTGGGATGGTGCAAGGGGCTGCAGTGAGATGGAATAGCTGGGAAAGCCACATTGCATGAGGACAATATTGCTCACAGTTCCCTGGATTCCATCCTATGTTTTAGAAACAAAAGAAGCTGTCTCAGACAATTGATTTACCTAGTTGGGTATTGACTAGCTGTAGATCTCCAGGGTTCGAGACAGGAGTCTTTCCAGAAACTGCTGAAGGTTGACCTTCCGCACACAAAACGTGAGTTCTGCTACCGAGCTGCAACCCTTCTCCTTAAATAAACATACATTAGAAAGTGTGAGTTGCAGAATTATGCATAGGGGTTAACATGGTTGTATTAGTAAAGGTCAGCAGAGGTTCTTCCTGTATTCAGAGTGACATTAGTAAGGATAAAGACTCACAGTGCTTTAAAGGATGGTGAAGATGGTTTTAGAGTGCTATCCCCACCCTCCTTTAGTTCTGTGTCCTGTGCTAGCTTCGGGGAAATGAAAAACCTGTTTTGTAGATTTTCGGAGAGAAGCCTTCTGCATCGAGTGCCAGTTTTTTGCATTTAAACTTCTTGTGATTTTTTTGGGGGGGAGGGGGGACTTTTATTATGGTGAAGGGTGTGTGTGTCTGTGTCTCTGTGTGCTACTTCAAAAGAGCAACTTTAAGAAAGGGTTCAGTCTGCCTGAGGCAAAAGTGGTGGGTTGACACAGCTCCTTAGAATGGGGAACAATTTTCCAGTCCTAGTAGTCTGAATGTAAATAGTGAAGCTGGGATCACATAATAGGGGAAGAACCCACTGCGATTCACTTTAGAATGCTGTTTTTTTGCTTAGTTGTTTTTTAAATTAAGCTTTTAATTTATCAAGTATTTGCAATACGTCATGTTCGGTGTTGCTGTATTTGCAAATCTCAATGTCGATGCCTGTTACCTTTATCTTGAAATGTGTTTAGATTGCACATGTCTTCAGGTGCTGGAAGACTGCATGTCAGAGCTATCTCAGCAGATAATGACTGGGATCCAAAGAATTGTGTAACACTTGAAGGAGCTTTTGATTTTTCTTTTTCCTCTTGCTGTTACATCTTGGTTTTGAAACAGAGGATTTGTGAGTTGACTGTATGACATGGGAGCATGCTGTTCAAAGAAAAAAAAGTCCAATATCCTGCTGGACACACCTAGCCCTTTGGGCTCACCTAAAGTGGGTATTTGGCTCCTAGCCAATGTAAAATTTCCCCCCTCAAATAGGACTTGCTTGACCTGTGATTTCTGATTTTTCCTTTATTTCAGTTAACTACATTGGGCAACCTCACACCTTCAAGCACTGTGTTTTTCTGTTGTGATATGCAAGAGAGATTTAGACCTGCTATCAAGTATTTTGGAGATATCATCAGCGTAGGACAACGATTAGTAAGTTTACCTGGTTTCTTAATATAACATACCTGGTTTCTAATTTTATCAGCTGCTGCTGCTGTATAATTTTTATTGTTATGGACTATTTTATTGCTTAAATAAAAGTTTAATTCTTGTGTCGGCTTTTTCCATTTGCAGCTTCAAGGTGCACGAATTTTAGGAATCCCAGTTATTGTAACGGAACAGTATCCTAAAGGTCTTGGAAGCACAGTGCAAGAAATAGATTTAACTGCAGCTAAACTTGTCTTACCAAAAACAAAGTTTTCTATGGTATTGCCTGAAGTTGAGTCTGCAATAGCAGAGATTCCTGGAGTTCGCAGTGTTGTTTTATTTGGGGTAGAAGTAAGTACTGCATTCATAACTTGCCTATAGACTTTCTGAAAAATGATTATTATTTAGATAAAAGTGACGTTTTTGTATTTTTTAGTGTTACAGCAATAATCCTATAAATATTTATATACATAGAGAAGAACAGATATATGAAAACCAATGTTATTCCATAATAGAACAAATAGGTTACATGCTATCTGTAAATACAGCTTGCTAAACTTGCTCTAATCACTTATATACACTTATATTCGGATCATTTTGTCTAACTGTGGAAAACAAATACACAAACAGCTAGCTTGTCCTGAAGTTGTTGATATTCTGTTTATGTGATAGTTGATGAAGTTAATTTTTGTTTTTCTCCAAGACTCATGTCTGCATCCAACAGACAGCTCTGGAATTGGTAGGCAGAGGTCTCGAAGTTCACATTGTGGCCGATGCAACATCTTCAAGAAGTATGATGGACAGAATGTTTGCCCTGGAGGTAACTACTTTGAGATGGGGATGTATATGAGATTGATCTCTTTAATTGTTACAAGATGGGCATAACCATTAACTTTCTGATAGACTTTAGGATTCATACTACATGGAAGAGAAGTGGGAACCATATTGTAACCAAAAATGGTAGAAAATCCGATGAGATCCATATGTCTTGCTTATTTTGTCCAAGTCATTCATTTTGGGGATATCTAGGAGTTGCTCTCTTTACCTGCATTCAGGAAACATGTAAAGTCTCTTTTATTTATCTAAGCTTTTGGCTGATCGTTTTGTACACTACTGTTTTTTACTACTAAGCTTTAATATTAAGGCCGGACCAACAATGGAGAAAGCTCAATAAGAAATTGTTTTTGGAAGTTTGTGAGGAGAAGTCGATCAGTATCCATCAAGAATGGTTTTTGATTTAGGGAATTCTACCATAGCAGGATGGTTGGGTTATAATGGATGTGTTTTTCCAGACTTTCTGTCTCGACTGCCGATCTAATAGTGTTACTATAAAAATTCCTTTCTGTACCACAACTGACTCATCCTTTGATTTTATCTAGCATTAAAATAATCAGCCCTCTCCGATTCTTCACTGTATCATCCCTAGAGTGCAATCCTATGCACAGTTAACGAGAAGTAATTCTGCTGTTTTCAGTGGGTTACTCAGACATAAGTATTTATTGGACTGCTGTCATAAAGTATTAATAAATACTTTTATGATTTTCTGTTTGGGTACAAAACATTCAACTGCTGTAATAAAGATCATTGGAACTAAATGTTATTACGACATGTTGTTTAACCATCTTACTGTTAGAACTGAACTGTCCAGCTATACCAAAAACAAAATGCCAAACTTCCCCCCCACAACTTTCCTTTCAATGAGAAAATTGTTGTTTCTCCATCATAAGCATTGCTCCCCTGACCACGTGACTAAGTTATGTCCATTAATTTTAAATAAGTCTACACTAAGTAATACTTATTTCTTATCCTCCCGCTTGCAGAGAGCAATTTTCATATGTGATGGCAAATGTTTCTGCCTAATTCTCAGTGCAAAGCGATTTGCCCTCAACTTTTCTAATACATACTGGACAACAGTCATGTTCTTATAGGGGATTTAGGACGATTTCTTATGGCCTTGTAAACCGGGCATATTCAAAGAAGATAATTCCCAACTTTGACTTTGTGTCATTATTTGTTTTAAATGTCACCTGGACCAAACATTTTTGAAGTTTGCATTTGCAGCTTTCTTTGTTCTTTAATTACTGCCTCATTTTCTGAATGAAAGCATTATTTAGTGCTTCCTCATTTTTGCTTGTTCCTTGTGTGTGTTTTTGTGTTGATATTTGGAATGTTTAAGAGTTAGGAGTATCCAGGTATCACATCTGATTGAGCCATGAAAGATTATGCTGTAATAATAAAGAACGTTAGTTTTTAAGAAACCACAAGGCTTTCTTTTGCTGTTCCAGAGTAGCATAGCGTCTTTCTAGAAACTAGGCATTTTTTGTATAATTTCTCACCCACTTCTTTACCACGACTACAGCCATTTGACAAACCTATCATGCTAAATCAAATCTTATTTTTCATTGGCAAAGGTGTGCATCTGATCTCAGTGTTTCCATCGAGAACTCTTTAATATATTATGCATATTTTTCTCCCACCAGCAGCTAAAATATCTTGATAGTCTCAGAAGTGTGACAGGACAAAAATAAATTGATATTAGGGAAGTTGGTATTCCTCTAATAAGGATCTGTCAAATTTAATATGTTACATGGAATATGACCTCCTGCTGTTAAATCCTGTTTAATTTCACCAAGGACATAGGTAATTTTATATTACCAGTGCCCTTTTGCTAGAAAAATGCCTCCCTTGTTATCTTATAATGGCAATAGTGCCCACCTGAGAAATGCCGGAACTGAATTCCGGCAGGAAAAAAAGCCCTGTGTATTACTATTCCATATAAGTGATTTAAAGTCCTAGCCATTTGGAGTTTTAATCCAGCCTACCTACATTGCAGTGAAAGAGAACAGAAGTTTACCCTCGCAAATGGTAATGGATGTTTCTCTTGTTTTAAAATAACGAACCGTAATATATTGTGCCGAGAAATTTTATTTATTTATTTATTTATTTATTTATTATTATTATAGTTTTTATTAGGTTTTTGGTTTTACATCTCAGAATAAGCGTCTTGCATAGTACCATACATTTGATGACTTCCCTCCTTTCCCTTCCATGGTTCATTTGCTTTTATCCACCATTCCTGCATATTTTGCCATAACCATTTTATTCTCCCATCTTACATTGCTCAAGTATTTGTTACCCTGTTGAATTCACCTTAACGCTGCCAGCGTTTCCAGCTGTGCAAAATTGCTTTCCATATACTCGGCAAAAAATTCCCCACTCTTTAAATATACGTTCTTCTTGCTCTCTTCTTCTGTACGCTAGGCCAGCTAGTTTCGCGTATTCTATCATCTTAAATTGCCAATCCTCCTTACCTGGGACCTCCCTCACCTGTGACAAGAAATTGCAGAGGCAGTGGTATTGTGGTTGAAAAGTTACTCGCTAGGTATGCAGCGTATACTCACCCCAGCTGTCTTCTTTTGCTCTTTTTTTTCCAGCGTCTAGCTCGCACCGGGATTATCGTTACCACTAGTGAAGCTATATTGCTGCAGCTAATAGCCGACAAAGACCACCCCAAATTCAAAGAAATCCAGAACCTCATTAAGGCAAGTGCTCCAGAGTCAGGGCTCCTCTCCAAAGTGTAAAAGACGACATTCTTGAAAGACCATTGGAAATGGAGAGTCAAAGATGTAAACTTTCTCACTCGCGTGCACACACACACACACAGACACACACACACACACATCACCTGCAAATCGATGTTATTGTGCTTGCCTTAGCAGAATTTGTTTGGTTACGCTGTTCAGGTGCGAGTGTATTCTGTTAGTCACAGTCGTCCCAAGGCTCTGGGTACCATAGGATCGTTTTCGTTGTCAAACAAACTTTTAAAACAGAGGTGCCTGTTTGTCTCTACTGTACCCACTGATTGTAACACAGTTCGGAAAAGTGCATATTTTTGTGAAACCTCGATTGTGCAAACGTACTTTGGAATTGTTTTACTTTTTGTACTAATAATACAATGACATAGATAAATGTGATACATGACGTTTTGCCAGTCTACAAATAGAATCATATTTTAAATAAAATGAGATAGATATATATACTTTGGGTGGGCGGGAATGGTGCTTTATAGTCAGAAGAACAAGCTAAGGGAACAGGCAATATAGATGTAGTACTTTAGAAGGTAACTTAGCAAAGCTGATTCTTGATTATCCGAGACTTTATTACTAAATGGTGTTACAAAGTCCTTTCTAACTGGAAAAAAAAAGTCTGCGGATTGATGTTCACTTTAAAATAAAGAGCAATTCTGTCAGCTTGTTAATGGGAGTAAGTGAGTGACAGATGACACTGAAGTGAGTGACGTTAATTCACTTGTAGACAGTTCAAAGTAAGATGCTCAAACTCTTCATTTCCAAGTACTAAAATAACTTTTTTTCTGGATGCGTTGGGGGATTTATTTTTAATCCCTGTATGCCTAGATTTAACGAACTCCATCTGGCTTCTACATTAGTTCAAGCAAGCTTTGGGGTGGGGGTGGGGAATCAGCTTCTTCAGTTTTTTTATGCAGTATTCTGCAATATGGATGCTAAATAGGCTTTAAAAGGAGTCCGGTGTAATAGTATATTTTGAAAAAGACATCTATAATTTTATAGCTGGAAGTAAATTTGAATAACAGTGCCCTTAATACAGGCCAATTAATTCATGTTAGAACCGAGCTCAAATTGTTCTAGGATTTGTATCAAGTATGTTTGTGGCTTTATAGGAATATATTTTGCAATATGACAGTAATAATACCGATGTGGTTTTTTTTAAAAAAAAACAAAAACCATGCATTGATGGAAAGTTCTTAAATTTCCCACAAACATTGACTCTTAAAATGATCGTGGTATGTTCAAATAAATGCAGATGTTTACTGTGTCTTGTTGTGATATAAAACTTCAGTCTTCGTTCTACACTTACTTTTATTGTGTTTTCAAAAGTTATGTTCTGTCTGTGGAGGGAAGCGTGTGGATGAAAGCAATTTGTTTTTCATTTTCTGCAAAACAAAACGAAAACAACTTGTCACGGTTTAGAACAAGCACAAGATGTGACTGCAGACAAAAGACGAAAGAGTTGAAGAAATCACTGCCCCACATTAGTGACCTACTTTTTAATGTCTTATTATTAGTGCTTTCAAGCAGGGCAAAGTATAAAGGAACAGCTGTCAAAGAGCAGAAACAGCCCAATAACATTCGAACCAAACTGAAAACACATCTTAATATATTACACCATATACCAGATACATCTGTAGACAAAGATTTGATTGTCTAGTTCAAATCAATCACTGATGCAATTTATTGTTAGGTATGCCCTAGATATAGTGCTCATGACCTGCAGGAGTTTATATTCCATCCAACCAAACAACAGACACCTATGCCAAATCACATTTTTGCCTGTGAAAAGTTTCCTCAAGTGGTCTTCAATTCAGCAGGAATAGCTTTCGATTGAGAAACAGACACCATTGTGCTGCTGGACCAATATGCAGATAACTTTTGCATCCCTGCTCCACAAATCCCATTACAAAAATTCTCATAAGCATTCTGTGTCATCTCGGGGACTTAATGGCTCTGTGTGGGGAGTCAGGAAGGTGGCAGTTTTTAGGCTATTTATATACAGTATAAATCTCTTCTTCCACTGCTGAGGAAAAGGGTTGTTGCTAACGGGTTTTTTTGTGCATCTTAACTGTCGGTTTTACAATTCTGTAAGATTTCAAGCCATATTTATAAAAACCTTACAGAACGACAAAGCTGTTCCTTTCCTGGAATAAGGCATAAACGATTGCAGAATGCAATGTCCCAAATACAAAATTAATGTAGCCCATTGATACTTAAGCTCTATGTCACACCTTACCTCTGAATAGGAATATAATCATATGCATACGTACTCACAAATGATTCCCACTAGGTTCAATGATACTTAACAAGAAGGAATTTGTAGGAATGCCACTCGAAGCACAAGTGAAAATCAAGGTGAGCTGTTACTTGTTGCTTTCCATGTGAAATGGTTTACATTCTTCACCCTGTTCAACAGGAGCAGTCGAGGTCACCTTTTCACACCTGAAAAAAATCTGCTAAGGATTTTTTCCCCCTTGGTGAATAAGTTGCCCAGGAAACTTGCATGTTATAACAACTAAGGTGATGGTTCTGTGCTGAACATCAGTACCAGTCCACGCTTAAGATATGCTCTCACACAGTGGTCTGTTGCTGTTAACTGGATATGCCACTCTAGATAAGAAAGGCTATTTTTATAGCTAGAATATTCACACCTTGAGCTGTTAACTTGCATTTAAAATACCATTCCTAGCCAATTGGTTAATCAAAAGTATTCTAAAATTTGCAGACAAAGTTATTTTTATTTCCCTGAGACTTTAAAAAAAACCAAAACCTGGCAGAATTGTGTTTTCATCCTGCTGTTTCTTGCTGTGTTTATATTTTATCTAGTGGTTTTTACTGTTGCTTTTAGCATATTTTTACAAGCCCTGGAAATGTTTTTTTTACGTTGAAGGGCAGAATCTGAATTCAGTCAGTAAATAAAACTGACTTTCTTGAAAGCAAGGAAGATCCACTTTTTAATTTCAAAACGGCAATAATAATACCTTTTTATTTCTTTGGAAGCCGTCTGGTAGGACACAAAATTTCAGGTATGTGTATGTGTGTTAAAATGGTATACATACTTACTGGGTTGTATCCAACATTAGTCATACTCAGTGCAGACCCACTGAAATTAATAGACGTGACTGATTCACTAATTTTAGTAGGTTTACTTTGAGTAGAACTTAGTTGAAAACAACCCATTGACTTCAGTGGAATTTTCATCTTGATCTTAAAATATATTTACCTGGAAGCAGACTACATTGCTTGCCGTAGAACATTCTTCCAAATAAATGTGCAGAAGGCATTTAATTGGGCGCAGGGTTGCAGTGTAAATGCTTATATCACATTTCCAAATCTCAGCAGGCATTGATTTTGTGCGTTTTTGTGGCCTTGATTGGTTGGTCAATGAGAATGTAACCAAAAAATGTGAAGTTGATCCATTTGCTGCAATCCACAGCCCACTTTGCTCCACAGTTCTGCTCCCGGAGGATGCGGACCAATGTAGGTTTGTGACTAGTATACTGTATGCCATTCGCTGATCTGACATGATTCAGAGAAACAAATGTGTGCATGCACACGAAAGCTCATACCAATAACAAACTTAGTTGGTCTCTAAGGTGCTACTGGAAGGAATTTTTTTATTTTGTTTCAACTACAGCAGACCAACACGGCTACCTACCTGTAACTATGATTCAGAGATTCAGTATATTGGTTTGGAATTTGCTTCCCACCTCTAAATTATAGATTAAATGCCATTGATTTACCTGAATTTGAGAGGCAGATTTACCTGAATTTGAGAGGCAGGTATCCTCACAAATTTACACACACACACACACACACACACACACAGGAACTGTTTTGAAGCAGCAAAATTCAGATAATAGGAAGTCAAGAAGTAGATAAAATTGGTATACAATGCAGTCAGAGGTGAAGGGAAGGGTAGATGCTACTGGCTGGTAGAGACACGTTTAAAGGTGGAAAAAGACTAGCAATCATGATGCCATGAAGGGAAGTAACATGAAGCGTATCAAAGACTGGTAGTGTTATGCCCCTGAAGTATTAAGGCTCTTTCTCAGTAAAACAGCAAGAGGCTGCAGCTGAAAAAGCTCAAAAGAGCAATTGTGTTGTTTGCTTCATTTTAATGAGGACTCGGGAGAATACTGTAAGTGCTTACAGACAAGTAGTGTATCTGTGCCTTTTAAAGACGCAAACCCAAACTCGATGGTAGACTGAGTAAGTGCAATTCTCCCTCTAGGTAATTGGCAGCAATGTGCAGTATTGGGTTTCAGGAGAGCAACGCAAGCCCATGTGCACAGCCTCCAAAGGCACTACACCACTGGCTTGCTTTCTTTTGCCACATTTTGCTAATTGTGTAGAAAACTAGAGCTGTTATCTTTAAACTAGATTGTTGCTATGGCTGTACTTGTAATTTATTATCTCATTAGTGGTGCTGCTGTTTCAATTTCTGGCGAGCAGTAACAATTACTTCTATTACTTATGAACATCTTAACAGATACAGGGGTTTTTTGTGTGTGTTATTTAAAAATCCTCTATATGCATGCAAGCATTTGTTTAGTTAACCATATGCTTTGCTCTGCTGTTCCTCCTAAAGGTAAGAATGGGACAGAAGATAGCTCTGTTGTCATGACGAGACTCAGGCAAAATGTTACCAGATTCAGGAATTGGACCAGAAACTCAAATACACAAGGCTTCGTTTAATAGCGTCACTTGGTACCTTCATAGATAATTTATTACGGTCAAAGACCAGCTCGCATAACACAATAAAAACAGCATTCATAAAGATAAAATATACAACCAGAGCAGATTGCAGCAATAGCTCATGAGTTAAAATTGAGATATATACATACACCTGTACAACTGAGATTTGGGCTACCATAAAAATTGACCCTGAGGCACCCCAAAGGGCGACTTCAACATTTCCCAAGTAAGTATTTTATTCTAGAGGATGATCTGTGCCTACAAATCTGGGTGCAAAATCTGGCTACCAGCCAGGTCATCTTGTGATCTTTGCCTAAGAGGAGAGAACTAAGTTTAGAACTGTCTGAAAGATCGGCGAGCCTCTTCAGCAAAGGATCAATGGTGTCTCTACAAATCTCAACATAAAAAGGACATCTAAAAAATATATGTTTTTGGGCTTCCTATTTCCCCTAATGGTCAGACGCAAAGTCTCTGTGCATACAGGACTCTTCTATAGGAACCTTCCAGAACCAGTGAGGGCAAGGCCAAGCTTCTAGCAAGAGTGAAAGTCCTAGTGTCACTTGGTAAAATATGATCTGACTTGCAATGGTAGAGCGCATGCCCTGAATTCATAAGGTCTCTGGTTCAATGCCTGATGTTTCTGGTGAAAAGGAGCAGGTAATGGGAAAGAATCTGCTTCAGACCCTAAGTGGGATCGATATACAAATACTGTATTTTTCCGTGTATAAGACTAGGTTTTCTCTCTCTAAAAAATAATGTCAAAAATTACGGGGCATCTTATACTCTGGGCCATCTTCCCCCCCCCCCCATTTTCTTAAATCTGAACCCCTCCCCCAAAATACATGGGGGCGTCTTATAGATGGAAAAATACGGTAGTTTGACCTGTGTTCTTCCAGTGTTCAGGTGGTGGGGCTGAGCAGCATTAGGCATGATTATTTGTTTTGTGGGAATCCTAATGTAACTATAGTCTTGCATTAAAACACATCATCCGAGGGATAGCTCAGTTGCTAAAGCATGAGACTCTTAATCTTAGGGTCGTGGGTTCAAGCACCACGTTGGTCAGAGGATTCCTGCATTGCAGAGGGTTGGACCAAATGACCCTTGTGTTCCCTTTCAACTCTACAATTCTAAATAACATGATTCAGTGTAGATAAATGGGAGCAATGCACAGAGGCGGATGTAAGGGAGCACAACCAGTTTGCCCGCAGTGTACACTGAGTTGAGAGGGTGCTGCAGCGGGCATCGCAACAACAACAAACAATGGAAGGTGAGAGCCGGGGCCCCGCAGAAATGTTAAAGCCCAAAATCTGCCACCGCATGGCTTATCATGGCTGTGGACCAGGCTTCTGAAGAGCTCCTGCTGGTAAGTAGAAGATAGTGGACCAGATAAATACTTTGATCTGGTATAAAGTGACTTCCTATGTTCAAGTAGAAGGGAAGATAAAGAAGGCCAGATGAATTAAGCTTTACTAACAGGTGATATTGTTAATGGGGAAATTGTTAAGACACCCCAGGCTTCTTAACATCCACATAAGATTATTCAAACACAAGGCTAAATGAAAAACGTGCCTTATGTGCCGAATTTATCATTCAAGATTCTTAAATTCTGGCTGCACGTTATGTGAAAACAATTATAACCACCTAAGATGGGGGGGGGGGGAGACAGACCCGCGCGGGTGGTGCTGTGGTGTAAACCACAGAGTCTAGGGCTTGCAGATCAGAAGGTTGGTGGTTTGAATCCCCGCAATGGGGTGAGCTCCTGCTCACCTAGCAGTTTGAAAGCACGTCGAAGTGCAAGTAGATAAATAGGTACTGCTCCAGCGGGAAGGTAAATGGCGTTTCCGTGTGCTGCTCTGGTTCACCAGAAGCGGTTTAGTCATGCTGGCCACATGACCCGGAAGCTGTACACTGGCTCCCTCGGCCAATAAAGCAAGATGAGCGCCGCAACCCCAGAGTCGTCCACAACTGGACCTAATGGTCAGGGGTACCTTTACCTTTTTATATGTGTGATAGAATAGATTGGATCACCAGACATTTTTTTCTTTTATTCAAATGAAGCTGAGAGGAAAGGGAGCTAGTTAACAGTTTGTTCCCCTCCCTCCACCAACCAAGCTATTTTCCTAATCTAATTCATGCCTGTAACGCCTTTGATGCCTATAGCTTCAAGATGCAATGCCTGAATTTAGATCAGGAAAGTGCCATAGGTGAAAGAACATCAGGATGTCCAATCTGTAAAAAGCTGTAATAGTTTTTTTGGGGGGGGGATCATTGATGGAGCTTTTTGTTTTATATACCTGGGTAGCAGGGAGTATATAGCTTCCATAAACTGGCTACTTGTTTTGGAATAGAAAGTTTTCTTTTAAAAAATATAATATTATTTCATTTTTCTTCAAACAATAAAATAAAACCTGTTTCAGCCAGAGGGCTACCATTCCAGGGGTGGGTGGAGCCAGGGATGTCACTCTTACCTTTGAACATAGGCTACATCTCAGCCGGAGGGCTTTACCCAAGCCGGAGGGCTTTACCCATGCACTAACCTCTCTATCTAGGCAAGCAAGGCATTATCATTGTTTAAGGACTCATTCCAGTCAGGCAGAAGGAGCTTGAAGGGCAGGGCATGGTGACTGAATGATGTGACCTAGGGGAAGTGTGTGGCCTATGGAGAGTCCTGAAATTCAAGCAGAAATGCTTAGCGGGCTGAAACTGGACCCTGGACCTGAGGTTCCCTACTGTAAGGGTATCAGGGGGTTGCTTGAGAGCAATCAAGCAAATGCCTCCCTGGTCTGCTGCAAAGCCTTGTTATTGGTGCCAAAAACAACCTTCACCATGCAGAGTGCCACTATTCCGTGGCTGGCTCATTCACTGGCAGAATCTGAGAGTGGGCGGTCCTTAAACCTTCCCCAGCAGAGTAGTTTCTTGACGCCCAGTCTGCGCTTCCCCTCTCTGCGCGGAAGCCTACTGCGCAGGGAGGGCGTGGGCAACAGAGGACCTCTCTCCTCCCCTCTTTGCTCCGGCAAGGTGTCCTGGCACCGCCTCGCCTCCTCCGAGCCCTGCAGCTCCTCTCCACTGGAGGCGTGGTTACTCTCCTCCGCTGAGGAGGTGCTGCTTCCCACGATCTTCGGGGGCTCTCTGTAATACATCCGGCTTTTCCCCTCTCGCCCCTGAGCCGATGGCAGTTCCCTGACACCTACACTTGAGTTTACAGAACTAGATATCTTTATGGGAGATATTTAATCACCAATTAAGTACAAAGTGGCATAATTTGATTCAGTTTAGTTCACGCTTCCAAGACAATATGCAAAAGAAACACAGCCATCCTTTGAAATTTGCACTTCGCAGAATTTTGCCATGCACTTCTCCAGCCAAATTATGTGTAGCAACATGAATATACTATGGTAAAGTGTGCATAAAATATGGATTTTAGTAAGCAATAACATATCATGGGTAAAATGCTTTGCAAATATGTGTGTATTAGGCAAAATTGCATACAAAAATGTGCATTTTAGGATAAATTTGCACTAAAATGCTGTTGAATTTTCAGGAGATCTTAAAAATAATTCACAAACTGATATGGAAATGTGGATAACTGAAGATGGGGAAAAGGAAGAGTGAGAGAAACTGAAAGTGACAGATTCCCTACTATAAACGAAAATAAAGCCATATGCACCCCATATTTAAGCAGGCTTAGAGTGCCCTCTGTTGAGCAGATGGTACTGACAATGTTTGTTGCCAGTGTTGCTCCATTATAAATGTTCCACTTATCAATAAAGAATGTGAGAAATTTATTTGCCTAATGCTCTGCTTCTTGTGTAGGTAAAATACTAAAAGGAGGACACCAGAATAAATTATTCCGTTTCCAAAGGCCATAGGAAAGAGGCATAAATTTAGCAAGAGATGGAAGCTGTAGAGAAATCGTGCTTGACACAGTATTGCAGAAAGGGAGTTCCATATACTTAGGGTGAGCCCCCATAGTCTATCTGAAGAGCACCATGTTGGCTTCCTCTGGCCTAAACACTGATCTGCCCTAATCATTTAAGGATTTCTCACTGGGGCATGACAGTTTGAACATATTATACCAACCTGGCCCAACTGCACTGGCTGCCAATTAGTTTCTGGGCCCAATTCCAAGTGCTGGTTTTGACCTATAAATCCTGAAGTGGCTTAGGCCCACAATATCTCAAGGACCACCTCTCTTCATATGAACTGACCCAGACGATGCAATCACCATCTAAGGCCCTTCTTCATGTGCCTCCTCCATAAAAGGTCCGGAGGGTGGCAACATGAGAATGGGACTTCTGTGGTGGCTCCCTGTTTGTGGAATGCTCTCCCCAGGGAGGCTTGCCTGCTGCCTTCATCAAATATATTTAGGGGCGAGGTAAGCACGTTTATCTTTAACCAGGCCACAGCACCACCTCCATCGCTGAGCCTCTTGGTCTTGCCAATCAGAAGGTTGGCAGTTTGAATCCCCACAACGGGCTGAGCTCCCGTTGCCCTGTACCAGCTCCTGCCAACCTAGCAGTTTGAAAGCACGCCAGTGTGATAGATAAATAGGTACCGCTGAAGTGGGAAGGTAAACAGCGTTTCTGTGCCCTCTGGTTTCCGTCACAGTGTTCAGTTGTACCAAAAGTGGTTTAGTCATGCTGGCCACATGACCTGGAAAGCTGTCTGTGGACAAACACCGGCTCCCTTGGCCTGAAAGTGAGATGAGCGCCACAACCCCATAGTCACCTTTGACTGGATTTAACTGTCCTACCTTTACTTTAACCAAGCCTTTGGCTGATTAGCATTCTATATATGTTAAAATGTGTTCATGGGAGGGGGGTTATTGGTTTGTTCTTATTCCTGTTCTTGTTAGGTATTGTGTTCACATTTTGCATTTTTATGTTGTGAGCCACTCTGTGATCTCCAGATGAAGGGCAGTATACAAATTTAATAAATAATAATAACAATTTTTTTAAAAAAAGATATTTAAAAGTACATAGCAATAGGTACCACCATAGTCAAGTACAGTTAAATTAGCTATCTATGAAAGTTTGTTTGGAAATCCTATTTAGGCTTATTCTCCAGTGGGTGTACATATGACTGTAGTCTATGTTTCCCATGTCACCTGGTTGATGGATTTTTTCTTCCTTGTGATCTTAAACCTACTGCACCACCATGGGGAGGTTTAACTGGTTCCAGGGTAGATTTTTTTGGGGGGGAAACTAAGCACATAAGATTTTCACTCTGAATTGTACTGAAAGCTCTGTAAACAAACCGTGCTCCTTCCTTCCTTCCTTCCTTCCTTCCATTAAGAAATATTTTTACCCATATGAATGACTCCTCTGGAGAAACAGGAGCTTGCAAAAAAATCTCACTTAAATAGCTTCTAGGACCTGAGCTCTGGCCTAACTAATGCGTGTCATTAAACTGGACTGGAGTCATTCCAGTTTCCACATACAAGCTTTTAGAAGCTCTCTGCTGTTAATAGGCCTGGCTAATCAATATTTTGCACTGCAGAGATTGCACATGATCGAGCCCTGGGAACAAAAGGTCCATTTGTTATGTAATAAACGGAGCCTCAGGGAAGGTGTGGCATTAAACATTGCAGCCAGAGAGGATGGTTTGTGATGAAATGCCCAGAGCTTCCCATGCACCGAGCCAGCAGGGCAGGATAGGACAGGGCAATGAGACACCTTAGGGATGCTTCATACATGATTCAGATAACTTCCTGATGCTGTAAAGAAAATTGCTAAGCTAAATAGTTTCCCATCACGGGGGGCATTCACAAAGAAACAGAATGACTAGGGGTATACCTGCATTATTTTGCAAATCAGGATGTTTTTAGTTTTTGTTTTTATGCAGCTAAAAGGCAGAGATAGTTATAGGTAGGTAGCCGTGTTCGTCTGCCGTAGTCGAAATAAAAAAAAAAAATTCCTTCCAGTAGCACCTTAGAGACCAACTAAGTTTGTTATTGGTATGAGCTTTCATGTGCATGCACAAAAATCTCATACCAATAACAAACTTAGTTGGTCTCTAAGGTACTACTGAAATGATTTTTTTTATTTTGTTAAGGCAGAGATACAGACAGACCTCAAGTTGAAGTAGCTTTGGGATAAGTATTTTTAGGTTGTGCGCTGCAGCGACCCGCACATCACTTCCGGTTTTTGCTGCACGCGCAGACGGTCAAAATGACGTCACACGCATGCACAGAAGTGGCGAATCACAACCCGTGCATGTGTAGACGTGGGTTGCGTTCGCTTCTGGATGAGAACGGGGCTCCGGAATGGATTCTGTTCGCATCCAGAGGTACCACTGTAGTTATCTATGCCTTTTAACTGATCTATCTATCTCCATCCATCCAGCAGTGGCAGGAGAGGAGTAGCAGCCAGGAGAATTGCAGAGCAGGCAATTTTTTTCACCAACTCTCACTGTTTTTCATTTGCTACTGCTATCCCTACACAGCACCACACATTGGGGCTAGTTAGTGCATGAAGGGGTTAAGGACCACAGAGTTCTAATTGCTAGAAGAGGTTCACTGAGGTCATGCCCCCCTCCTGAGAGGGAGGAAGTAAAGCCTACTTCCTGTTCCCCCACTTGCCTCTTCACACACTAAGCAGCAGAGGCAGACGTGCCTCTCAGACACGTGTCTCAGGCTGCTTTGCTGTATTACTCAGACTATTGTATTGCCTTTGCATAAGGAAAGATGCATGTCTGAGACCTAGAAACCGTAAGTAGTTCATTTTAAACTTGCTGTGTGATCTGTTTCACTGAAAAGGGGTCAAGATGGGGGTCAGCTGCTGAGCAGAATCAAATAAGGTTTAATGGCCTATATCTATGCTTCATTAGTCTACCTAAGGATGGGATTTAATAGTCTGCTACTGGGGCTCTCTGAGCTAGGCCCACAGTTTTAAAAACAGGCACTACCTGTTTTTGCCTTTGCTGTTAGCCTACATACATAATTAAATACAATTAATTTAGTGAATATATTATTAATTAATTAATAATATATCCTCTTACTCATTCTCATCAGTAATACCCCATAGGTACTGATATATTATATATGTCATAAGGGTGGGGGAGAAATTGTGTGTCTTACCTGTTCAGTGTATTATTCTACTCTGTGAATCAGTGTTTTAGTCATAATGGTTTGTTATATATTTAGTTTTGCCTTTGGGTAATTGGAAAAAAAGCAACAATTATTATTATTATTATTATTATTATTATTATTATTATTTAAAAAGCTGGCTTATCTTTTCTATCTCATTGTAACCTCATTGTCACTTAGAAATCATGGGGCTAAGTGGTATGCAAATTTTTGAAAGAATGATTAAACTCTTGCACATTGTATATTACTATTAAAGTGTGTTTTATAGTTATTAGAGGAGGAGGAGGTTCCTCCCTACGCCACCCCCTCTTTTAATAAAGGATTTTGCAGGCTCTTTTACAGATGCCATTGAGACCTCTTGGGGAAAAGCTCCCACCCTCCTCCAATTTATGTCAAATCTATAGAAAATATGCTAGTAGCTTTCCAGGCTGTTATATCAACATGTAAAATCCGGCCTCACAAAATCTCTACGAAATTGACTTGGTGGTTGCTATTTATAAATTTTTCACTGCATAACTATTTCCTCTCCTCTCTCTTCCTATTCTGAATAAAGCACAGACAATCAAAAAATGAGTACCAGCTTAGCGTACCATGACATACTTCCCTCCTCTAACCTGAACATTTTGTAAGGTAGAAAGAATGGTCTGGTTTACAGCAATGGATTAAAAACAAATGAAGAAAAGCATAGCGGCAGTAGAGGGGAATATTTGCAGAGAGTCTCCTTGCTGTCAACACTCTTGACCATTTCTTCACCTTGAAAAGCTATTGTACATCTTTCACACTGTTAGTGTTCAGTTGTAATCCCAGGGTCATGGAATGGACAATTTAACAAACAAATGTGTATAGTGCAATGGAATGTTTCCCCAATAAATATTCTTTGTTTTTATATCAGAACTGGCTAATGTTGTAAATTATTCAAATTCGCCAGCAGGAGGTAGTAGCGTTAAGCAAATTAAAACTAATCTAGAATTATTTTGCAACATGCATTTTTTAAAATGAGCTACAGAGTGCTTGTGCAGTTTAAGTCTGCAAGTCGTCTTGCATTGCAGCACAACATAGCTGGGGTCACATCATAGCTTTGCCCACATTCCCTCATCTCACAGGTTTTAAGTTTTAATCGTCAGAAGTGTCTAAAGAAACAAGCTTTTTCACTTTCATTTAACTTTTCAGACTTAAATTTAGAAAATCAAGGAATGGCAAGCTAAGCCCGCAATCTTATTTCTGAGCACTGTGCAGTGCAAACATTGATGCTGTTCTGGGGTGCCAAGTTGAATAAAATATTGGGGGGCAGGTAAGGCCCACACTGCGTAATTGATCACAAGATGTGGTGCACACATGCCATTTGAATGGCAATGTACATAAACTTTGAGCACCCCCGGCCCCCTCAAATATTTTAGGGGGGGTGGCTGAAGGGACCTCGGCCTATAGGAGTTGTCTGATATGATGCTGTTTATTCACATTGATACTATTGATCAGGCAGATACAGGCATGGAATAATTACAACAAGGGTGGTTTACCCAAGACCTAGATCAAGTTCACCCCACCCATAACTTTTTCTGAACCCTCACCAGTTTTGGCAACAGTGGCAAAAGGAGAAAAATAATTATGTAGACATAACATTGGAGTGGGCAGAGAGATTCAAACCCCTCCAACCAATCCAATACCCTGATGAAGTCGCAATTTGGCCCCTCCTTGCTTTGTGTCCTGTGTGTATGTTCATCTAAGAATGTGGGGTACTATGTAGATGGAGGATTGGCAATGGATGAAAGTGGTCCTTGAACCAAAAACGATTTGCCCCTCCTGCTTGACAGCAAGGCAAGGTGTATTTGGTGGGCACTGTGCAAGGTGTTTAAACATACAGAATTCCATATGATATACAGAAATGGATAACATCCATTTCAAACTGATATCTGAGCATGGGTAGGCAAACAAAGGCCCGGGGGCCAGATCCGGCCCAATCACCTACTAAATCCAGCCCGCGGACGGTCTGGGAGTCAGCATGTTTTTACATGAGTAGAATGTGTCCTTTTATTTAAAATGCATCTCTGGGTTATTTGTGGGGCCTGCCTGGTGTTTTTACATGAACAGAATGTGTGTCTGAGGGACAGTGGACTGGCCCCCTGCTGAAAAAGATTGCTGACCCCTGGCTTAGAGTATGAGGTGAGAACTGCTTACAGTCATCCTTTTGTACATTCAGGAACCAAATGGAACAAAACTGAAAGTGGTACCGATCTGAAGAAGTGGACTTCAGTCCATGAAAACGCATGTCATAATAAACTGGTTAGTATTTTAGGAGTTACAACTGGGTTCTTCTTTCAGCCGGAACTCGCTGGAACTCAGTTCTGGCACCTCTCAGGTGGGCACCATTGTCATTCTAAGACAACAAAGGAAGTGTTCATGATGAGTTCTGGCACCTATTTTTCCTAGAAAAATAGCACTTGTTACTGTTAGGATATAGTTCCGTTCCACCTTTAAAACAGGCATGTGGAGTTGTTGTATGTCATATGTCTGTTTACTTCCAGCACATCTGCTGGGAACTTCCATTGTATATAGCTTTTGCTTATGCTGTTTGCTTGGATACGAAGGGAAGCAGACATGTTTTTCCTTTGTCCTGATGCTGAATAAAATGCTTGTAAATATGCTTACATATGCCTCTGTCCGCCCTTCCGTTGCAAAGCGTTCTTATCTCTGCTGGCTTGCATGCTCAGTCTCTAAAGGCTTCTGAGGCTTGAGTCACAGTTTTGATGCTGTTCTGAGAACTGGAGTTCACCCGGCTGCCATCCGGTAGGCTGGAGCCATCTGGGGGCCTGCCAATTGCCCCCGTCTCATGGACGCATCCAAACAGTTACAAGACTCTTGGTTGGTTTGGGTGCAGGAGAATAACATGGCTGTCTTCTGGTATGCCAGAGGAATAAAACTCCATGGGTTTTCTTTGCACTGGTAACTTTTCAATTCACTGCTGCATTATACTGTCTCAGGCCACCCCGATCTCTGCTGAGCAGTGGAGGAGAATCCAGGGCACTTGCTTTTAATCTGCGTTTGTGTTTCCTTTGGGAAATTAGGCACAAGGGTAGCTATAGTGTCTTTATGATAGGGTTGCCATATTGCAACAAATGAAAATCTGGATGTATTTTAGATGCCAAATTGTCCCAGGAAAAAGGCAGCGCTCTCCGGCAACGGCTATGCGGCTTCGCTCCGCAGAAAAAGCAATTGACTCACAGCACCGCGCCACTTCCCCCTCTTAGCTGCGGAGCCCGTTAGTGGGTTCCTTTGCGGGTTGGGGGGGCGCTAAGGGTGCCTGCTGAGTCCCACGGTCACAGGCTTCATCCGCCTGTGATTTCCAGAAGGGTCCCCGCTTCGCCGTAGCGGAAAAGACCCGTTTCATGCGGAGCTGGTCCCTCCAGTTCAGAGGGAGTCCGCTATTACCGATGGCACCACCCCGGAAGTCCATCAGAATTGATGCTTTTGAATTATGGTGCTGGAGGAGACTCTTCAGAGTCTCATGGACTGCAAGAAGATCAAACCTATCCATTCTGAAGGAAATCAGCCCTGAGTGCTCACTGGAAGGACAGATCGTGAAGCTGAGGCTCCAATACTTTAGCCACCTCATGAGAAGAGAAGACTCCCTGGAAAAGACCCTGATGTTGGGAAAGATTGAGGGGAAGGAGAAGGGGATGACAGAGGATGAGATGATTGGACAGTGTTCTCGAAGCTACCAGCATGAGTTTGACCAAACTGTGGGAGGCAGTGGAAGACAGGAGTGCCTGGCATGCTCTGGTCCATGGGGTCACGAAGAGTCAGACACGACTAAAGGACTAAACAACAACAACATGTCTGGACACTGCTTCCCACTTCACATATATATGAGCTGAAGCTTTCAAGTGGCTCACAACAGCAGCACCCCAACACATGCCCGCTTATTCCTTAGTTTCAGC